AGAAGACGTCGGTTCGAATCCGACCGGATCGAAGGAATTTTTTCTGAGTGTTTTTTCTGAGTGTTCGATCTTTGTATTAATAATTATAACGTTATTTATTTATAAGAAATCACAAAATAATAGTAACAACATAATTCTCGCACTAGGGAACCTTGTGTCGCGTGTCATGGACACACACATCGACAAACACAAATTACACCCAAACTCACGAGAGAAATAAATTTATAGGTCATGCTAATGTCAAAAAATACAAAAAATCTTTTGCATGGGTGAACTGAGACAGGTATTATATATACAGATATACAACAAAATTCTAAATTACCAACCAATTGTCCGCGAACACATCAGCAACCCGGTCGAGAGCATGGAACTCATTCATGACAATCGTTCTGGTGGTCGGTGCGTTGAAAGTAGAAACCATGTAGCGCCCAGGTACACGAAGCGAAAGTTTTCGCGCGGACGCCTTCATGAACATTAATGTAATAATAAATAATGGGTCACTGGGTGACAGATGATCAGTCCGATCTGGTGGATGTAGAGAGAGAATGGAGAGCCCTTGCAGTAAGATAAAATATGCTCGCCCGGAGATTTGCACGTTGCAGTGTGGAGGTTAAAGTATACTGTCAAACCTTCTACACGTGTAGCCTGTGGGTGAAGTATAATAAGGTGACCCTAAATTCGCTGAGGGTACAATATAACAACGCGTTTAGGATGTTGTTCGGGTTACCACGACACTGTAGCGTTTAGGTTCGGTGAGACACGCACAGATGGCTTTCATGCCATTCTGAGGAAGCGGGTTGCCTCACTTTGGCGGCGTGGGTGCCCCAACATTTACTGTCAATTAATTTATATTTAAACAATCTCTCAACAATCAATGTTGTAATTATTCGTGATTGTATAGTTTATGGATTTTAATTTTATAATTTTAATTTATTTTCATGTTATCTTATTCTATTTTAATTTTAACATTTAGCATCATACTAACCTTATTCCTAAGCTCTTTACGAACGAACTATGGATAATTGTTTTTGGTCCGAAAGAAAGTATTATTATTATCATTATTAATGGCGAATCTGTAATTTTGTTTACTAGGCAACAACATTTAAATTCCTCTGAATAATAAAACCGCGTAGACCAAATTCAACCCACTGTCGCCCGCGTCTCCGGGACGCTCATTTAAGTTAAAACGTAAAAGCTAAGCAAATAGAGCGTATTTTGCCATGACAGACGCACGCGGTCGCAGCGCGGCTGCAACGCGGACTCCGCTCTTTAACCGCGCGGGCTGAGCGCGAAGAAATTCGTGTCAAATAAATTCGCCCGTAGAGTGCACGTTTTGTTTGGCATGGCGAAGTTTGCGTGTGCGACATTTATAACGAATTTACCTATTAACATGTCTGGGAGCAGCGAAATGAGGTTTGCAACCTCCTGTAAGTGGTTTTTTATATCTTATTTAATTTCAGTTGTATTCTTAAGTAAAATAAGCGCAATTGACACTTTTGTACCAGCAAAAAAAACTTTAGGTGTGTCAATATCTCGAAATTACCGATATGCAAATGCGTTAGTTATGACGAGGAGGTCAGAATAGGTGAGCAAACCGTGAATTATTCTAATGTAATACAAAATAATAATAGCTGTTATAATTATTAATACAAAGATCGAACACAGAAATAATCTCAGTATAGAGTACTAAAAAAACCGACCTCAAAAGTACGTGGAATTACGTCTAAGGTACCGGAGGGTATTAAGGCCTAGCTAAGGGAGATTTCAAATAAAATGAAAAATGTAGTCGTTAATCAACAGGTTGAATTTCTAATCAGTCATTTATATTAAGGACTATAAAATAATAAAATAAAATAACAACTTCTGCCATAAATAAAAACGGGATTAAAACTTTTTAAAAACTTAACTTATAGGCCTTAATTTACTATGGCAGGGAAATTAGGCCTATTACTTCAGCAGTCTTAAATATTTATAATAACTAACAATATTTGGTATTTGAGATCCATAATCAGGTAAATTAAGTAATTTAACATTAAATACTATGGAGAATTAGATGGATTTGCTGGTCAAGCAGACTGATACCGATCAATTTAGTTGCAGCCATCAGGACACTCAAATGTGTCGGTATCATCAACCGACAAACCAACACATTCTTCATGGAACCATTTTCCACATTTTTCGCATTTTCGCATGTCAGCCATCTTATCTTCTTCGCAAGCATGGCAGTACCACCCTCTTTCCTGCTGCGAGATATCATTCTTCTTTTTTGCTTCAGTTTTCTTCGCTTTCTTTTTATTATTTTCAAAAATATCTTTTGTAATCGGTGTCCCTCTGTAATTAATTGCTTTTTTTCGAATCGTCGTCGTCGGTGTTTTTTATGTAATCTTCACTGGTGTTGGCATAAGTTGGTAAATAGGCGTTTTTTTGTTCAGCAGAGAGAGCGGCACATCGTCTTCATCGTCCGAATCTGAAAAACAAACCAAACGGTGAAGGTCCCTTCCGGTAGGCCTGGCTGGCGTCAGCTCTATTGCATCAGATGTTGTAGCAGACGTCTCACTTCTTTTAACAGGCGTTTTATTGCTGAAATCTAAATTTTTTTGAAAACTTGTTGAAGTCGATGGCCTGGGAGAATTCGGGTGCAAGTTTTCTTGATTTTCTGGTACCATCGGTGCTGGAACTTCTGTTAATACCGACGGAGCAAAAGCAGTTTCCGGAATTGCTTCAGGATTCAAAAGAAACAGACCAGTGGCTCTAAAGCCACTGGTTATGTTACTATGTGTCATGCATTTGGACCAGACATTAGAAAGTATGACATTAAATCGCGCCTTGGTTAGCTTCTTGTCTGGATTTTGATCCAAGAAACATAAGACTTCAGCATCCCAGTGATGTTCAAATGAACGGTAAACTGCTTTGTCAAGCGGCTGAAGTTCATGTGTTCTGTTCGATGGCAGACAGTATAAGGATATGTCGAACGAATCTGCGACGTCGACGATACTCAGATCTAAATGACAGGCTGCTCCATCAAAAATCAAAAGACACTTTCCAGCACTTTTGTATCTGGCTAAGTGTTTCAAAAATTCCTTGAAAAGATCATTTGTCATATAACCCTTAGCTGATTTTTCTATTAAAGTTCCCGGTGGTAAATTATCGTGTAATTGCGGCTTCAGCCTTTTCCCTTTAAATATCACCATTGGAGGTATGGCAGTACCGAGCGCATTTACACATCCCGCAATCGTGACGCTTTCTGCGTGTTCCGAAGACTGCAAATGCACTCGTTTTGCCCCTTTCTGAGCCAAAACAGTTTGTTGGTGGTGGATCGTTAATCGACAACCTTTTTCATCCATGTTGTAGATTCGTTCAGGATGATTTTTCAGGTCCAAATCGTCATAAACTGCTTTTATTTTTGAGAAATGGTCATCAACAATGAACTTGTTGAGTTTTTGTGCCCGCGCCGGGTTCATAAACTGAGCTTTTCTTTTAGATAAATTAGGGTGTCTTTTCATGAAAGCTTTAAACCAGTCCTTGCCAGCGAGTTTAGTGTTTTCATTGAAACTGTGCTTTATGTTATTAGCCTCACAAAATTTGTAGACCAAGCGACGAAGTATGCGTGGTATGACGGGCAATCCTATTTCAGAAAACCTGATAATCCTCTTCACCAGATCATCTTCCTGTTTTTCGTTCAATATGGTTTTCCGACCCAGTAATTTTCTCAAACTGCCAGTATTGAGATGATTCCTGATGGTTCTTCTTGGGACCTTATATCTCTCAGCAGCTTTATACGTACTCAGAATTCCCATTTGAACAGCTCGAACTGCTGACACCAGGTCTTCTTCAGACCATAATGCCCGTTTGGGAGGCATTATGGTCGTATTCACTGAAAATAAAATATCCACTGTTAGCTTATTCGTTATAATCTTACATATCTACAAAAGATCTTGAAAGGAGGATAAGATACAGTCATAAAATAATCTAATAAATCACTAAATAAAAGTTAGAGGATAATAAGGCCTATGGAAATTTTTGATAGGCCTTAATAACCTCCAGCCATATACGTAAGAAAAAGAAATATATTTAAATACATTAAGGTTACATTACCTACAAGATTCGAGACCACCATAAGGGTTAAATAAACTAGAAATAGAACACAAATTCGATTAGCTAACTGTAATATAACAAAAAATACTTACAATTGTCTAGTGTGATTTTTTACTATTCGAGCGGCGCGACCTCCCAACATAGAATTAGACACGGTACTGACGGCGCGGAGCGGGATGAAGTGTGACCTCGAGCTTATAACAACGTGTGCGCACGTAATGTATCTGTGCGTGTGGCGTTTGAGTGTGTAAATACAATATAAGTACGATTTCTGTTCCTTAGGCCTTATAATCCGACAGGCCTTATTACCCTTAGGTACCTTATTTGCTAAGTTTTATTGAAATATCCCCTACTTCGCCATTATACAGGACTTGACACTGGACATAATAAAAATCTGTTCTCACTACTCAAAGTATATTTAGAGAAAAACGCCTTGAATTGGAGAAATAGCAAAATCAACCATTAAAGTAATTGCTCCTAAATTAATCTAACATTATTTATGAAAATGAATCTTCATGCGTGAAAAGCCACCCTTCGAGGTGGATGATTTTCTTCAAAATGAAATGGGACCACTATGGAAATACCCCCTTTCCAACAAAAAAGAATCATGAAAATCGGTTCACAAATAACCGGAGTTATCGCGTAACATACATACAAAAAAAAAGAAGAAAAAGAACCTCCTCCTTTTTTTAAGTCGGTTAAAAAATCCAGATCTTTGCAATTGGTTTTTAGCGACTTTTTGGTGTAGCGCCATTTATGAGAAATGTATTTATTCACTCAGCTTTACCTTTACAGCTACCAAGCTGACTAGTGATGCACTTTAATAATTGTAATTTTTAAGTTTATATCTGTAACAAGCGCATAGAAAAATTCGGGAGGTCCGCTAGTGCATTCCGTGGCTTAGTTGACATTGCGTCCGCCACGGTTTGCTGGAAGACGTTGGTTCGAATCCAGCCGGATTATAACTAGTGGAGTAATTACGTACTCATATACTCGTAACTTTACTTGGCCTCTAGGTGTTAGCCATAGAATGTTGTAACGTGTGTACTTGTAATTGGTTTGTGTATCGAAGTTTTATTCTTTTTACATTCAATTATTTTTTGTGAAATTACTCCACTAGTTTGTTATAATTATTAATACAAAGATCGAACACTCAGAAAAAAAAATCTTTCGATTCGGCCGGATTCAAACCGACAACTTCTAGCAAACCGTGTCAGACGCTATGCCAACTAAGCCACGGAACGAACCAGCGGATCTCACGAATTTTTCCATGTGCTTTGTTGTCGGCTCTTCGTATTTGCTTTTCAACGACTTTTTAGCCGTAGCGCCATCTATTGTTTGAATGTATTAATACACATGCCTTTTACAAATAAATAAATAAATTCAGAAAGGTAACCGACCGTACCTAGTTACAACAAATATTAAATAGGTAAATGATTTAGCATAATTATTACCTAGTTCTCAGAATTAATATTAGCATCTTAATCCATAAATTGATGTTGTAAATCTATTTATGGTGTTATTTGGCTATCTGACAAATAGTGTCATAAATCAACGACGCATACGTCAGCGCGTCTGCAGGCGTCGTAGGCGCAGGTAGTTCACAGTTAGTACCGACTTAGTAAACGAACAATTACTTACGTGAATTGTATTCCATTTACATTTCACACGTAGTTGCGGAAAGTAAACAAATTACTCGCATATTAAGACAGGTTCTACCAGGTTTTAAATTTTAAAGTTCGTTCATTTTATAACAGCTAGTTGCTAGTACGAGCTTTTTTATGATACCAAGGTCCGTCTGCACATTGCACCTGCTGTGAGCGCCTCACAGAGCTTTAGATCGTAAATATCTGACGGGCACTGCCACTCTGCCTGTCTGAACTGAAGTTGACAAGTCCCATGTGCCTGTAATGTCACTAGCACTCTTACCCGTCAAAACTGGAACGCAGTAATGCTCACTAGAGACGAGAAGTAGGCAAGGCGGCAGTACTTTCCTGGACGAACTATTTGACAAGAAGCTCTCCTGCTACAAACATTTTTATACGGTCTTACTCGGGTCATATCGATAACTATGGCGTGCACGGAAGGAGCTTCTTTGCGTGACGTAACAAAAGCATTCATCGAAGGTTTGGTTTTCTGCCATATCCAACATTCAACACCGTAGACCAAGGCTGGGACACTGGTTACGATAGTGCTTATAAAAACAAACAAGTTATAAAAATATTAACAAAAATAGGTTACTTGGCTAATATTATACATAATGTACGCCAATCATAAATTAGTACGGTCAAGTTGGGTAACTTTAAAAATTTTTCTCAGGTTTCTATGGACACAAAATAAAGATACACAGACACACACACACACCTTTTATAATTGGCATTGAATTAAAAATAGAATGAATATTATACAATATATATATATAATCTAATCTAATATAAAAATATGTAAAATAAAATAATGTAATATATAATAATAATAATCTGTGATCATAATATGTAAAAATTTTCCAAAAACATTTTAACAAAATTCTTTTTGCTTTGCTTTGGTGTTATTCTTTTAACAATAACAATGTTTTTATCGATTACCTGCGAGACAGGCTTTGCCTAGTGCAGGAATCGTAGGAAATTCTCTGTACGCTTACCTGGTTTGTTGTCGTAACTAAATTGTAATGTACCTGCACAAGTTCATTTGTAAAAATAAAATTTATTTGTATTGGTCGATAGGTTTTATTGATTAATGATTAATCCTTTTATACCCAAATTTAGAATAATTTTATTAAAATTACGAATTAGAAAAAAACTGCTTAAAAAAATTGCGCTACAGGGGCCACTCAACGTTATCCCGATTTCTGATTATAATTGAACCGAGTTATTTTAAGCAGCTAAAATATTTCTTCATTGACAATTTAAGTAATTTAAATGTTAGGATAAAAAACATTGACCAAGATCAGTTATTAAAATATAATTTTGAAAGAAAAAAAATGGATCTGTCAAACTAAATAAACTTGTTCTAGCAAACAGTTTAACATCCACTTGAGGATATCATTTACCAAATAGCAGTTGCCAACCGAACCACACACATTTTTCACTCTTTGAACACGACCAACGGAAAATGGCGCGTACCTACCTATTTCAAAATTTCTTTCCTGTCAATGTTATGTCACGTTTGACATCTACAATATTTATTTGGTCGTTCCGTTTCACGTAGTTATCAATGTATTTGACTACAAGTTGTTTAAGAAAAACAGAATCTTCAAACCAGTTTTAATTAAAGTTACAAGGAAATTCAAAGTTACTTAATTTGATGGTCGCTTACTAGAAGACCTTAGACCTTACTGTAATGTATGGTAAACTTGAACACATATTTTAATATGTACCATATTTCAAGTTGTAGCAAGGTCAATGAACACTGTATATTGTATACAGTACTTACTTAATATTCGCTTTAAGACCATTTGACATAGAGAAGGCCGACACACACTTGTAAACAAAACATTGAACATGGTCAGCACCCTGACGTGTAATCTTCCAAGTTGGACACACAAAGCTTTGGTAAAGAAAGGTGACAGGTTAATATAAAACCAGTCTGTTACTGAAGATTTACGACCACTAAGACCTCGCCTTATTGAGACGACCCGATACCAGTATTTCTATCATGTACAATATCACGAAAAGTACTAATTGCTAGCGACAGCTGTCTCTATGCCCTCGTGGTTGATGCACTGGTGTTTATGCCAGACCAAAGCAGCAAATGTATTAACCTTGATGTCACCTACGCTGATAAATAGGATAGCTTCGTCAAGAGAAATAAATTTTCTCGGTAAATAGGTAAAGTACATACCTAAATCAAACCTAATATAATTGCGGTACAATCAAGTGTTTACGTATGTATACATACAAACCAATCAAAAGGTAGTCTTTGACGTCGTTGCTAACTTTGCCTGGGATTGATAAGGTTGATAGATAAATGAGCGAGGAAATAAATTACGTTTAAAGACATTGTTATTTTGTTTCTTACGGGGATGACGTGTTCAATCAAAGTCCCTAAAGAAAAATATTAAAAAAAGGATTACCACGAGGAAAGTCCTTTGCAAGTACATTTAGTTTTTTTCGCAATAAAATCTGGATAAATTTCGTTCCTGTCTCTACATTTACAAATCTAACTATACTATTACGATGTTTTTGGTAATTATTAAATTATATTTTCTACTCGTATAAACTCAAAAAACTCGAGTTCTTTACCTTGTGATAATTTTATTGATATGAACGTTTTAAAGGGAACTCAAAAATTTGTGTAAATTTCCAAATGACGACTGATCGTCATTCATCTTCTGAACGTTTTTGTATGAGTGAGAACAATGAGCCGCTAAAGTTTTACAAAAACATCCGGCCCTTCAACCTAGGTACCTGTGTACATATACGAATCTTTAAAATCTGTGAAAAAAGAAAACATTGCATTTACCTGCACCGAAGTGGATAAATCCAGCTAACAATATTTATCTTTTGCCAAGTAGTAACATGAATGAGGTAACAAGTCAACATAGCGTAGGTACGTATTGGATATTCCGAGAATCGAGAACAAACACAGAGCAAAAACACGGCAGTTCATCTTACAAATATAGCATTCGTACCAATCCATGGTGGAAAATTTAGCTTCGCTGAGATGGCAATGACAAATGGTCCAGAGTCATAGTTGAGCCAAAACAAGTTCACCGGGTCGGTTCTGCCCGCTCTACAGTATGATTTTAGCGCTTCGAGAAATTCTGCACAGCCATTTTCATTAAGTCTCTCAAATAAGTGATAGGTTAATGAGTATATATGAATAACTGATTTTATATTTAGGTTTTGCAAATTAAAAATTACCAGACTATTATATATCAGTGATCAGAAACGTGGATCCTAATAAAATAACAGGTAGGATTGTGACGTCTGTATAATTTACATTAAAAAAAAGAAAACCAATCTATTCTTGGTTCCCGGAAACAATTATCTCAAAACGAAAGGGAGTGCCCCTGGCGAGGATGTATGGATTTATTCCAGGATGTTTATATACACAAAATGTCAGGGTTATTTTACAATGTGTTTCGTTAATCTAGAAATTATTAAGGCCAGCGACGTATTCACAGCGACGTATTTACTCAAGGTAGTCGCACTTCGGACTCTTCAGCCTTTACAATAGTGGCTGTTGCACTTTGTCCACATTTATTAAAAAACGACAAATGGATAATAATCATAAAGTCATCTATACATTTTATGGACCGCTAACTCAAAATAGAAGACGCGAACTTTTCATCGTCGAACATCGTCGGCTGGAGAGCCGTTGCCTAGAGCAACTTAAGACTAGATTTATGATTTCATTATTTATAAAGTATGTACGATGAGGATTTTATTATTATATTCATTATGCTTGACCATGGGACTTATAAAGAGTCCAAAAGGTGGATTTGTTTTAAAAAAACAAATATACGCATTTTAGACCCGAAAAATTAGTTTTATTTTCCGATATTTTTACAATTCCATTTAAAATTACATGATATCATAATAGTAATTTACTTTTTAGGTACAAAATCCCCGTAACGTGAAGTAAAATGTAGTTCAACTGAGACATAAAATCTCGTTTATGTCCATTAAGAGGAGCATAATGTTTGAGCAATGTTAGTTATCCAATTATTGTCAATGTTAGAACATTTTTCCTTATTATTTTCTTCACATACTTTACTTGTCAACATATTGCCTTCTGTGACAAATGTGTCGTATTTGCATGTTATGTATGATTGATTATACAAGTAACTTTGATATATGAAATGCAGTCTTCGACACTCGAGATGGTATAATACAAGATTTATTCATATAGCATGGTTAATACAGGAGAGCTTGAAATACGTTTCGACATCCTTTTTTATGATATCAAGTAACGATACGAACGAATCGTGCGCCTATCACTTATGACACGTCTGTCCATAACAGCTGCAGTGCCACTCTGCGCCCGTCACCCTGAGACATTAGTAGACAAGTCCCACTTGCTTACATTACTGCTTAGTGGCAGAAATAGGTAAAGTGGCAGTACTTCCCTGGAAGAACTAACTCTTTCACAAGGAGCTCTTCTATTCTGTACTATTCTGACAGACGTTTAATGCGATAACCACTTAGGACTAATACCGGAATCTTCTTATCGTATCAATGGCATGCTTAGGATTTGCCAATCAGTGTAAGGTACTCACCGATTGTTCTGGGTGTCGTGTGGGGAGGCTTGTGCACCCCATATACCGGATACCAATACCGGAATGAAATTGTTTGTTATTACGGAACTGGTCCGCAAGCAGACCAATAAAAGAAAATCAGGTCTTACTGTCTCACAAGATCATGCTGATAGTAGTGACCGTTTAATGAGGGATGCACCTACCAGTTAACCGTGATAGTTCAAGAACGGTTTACTAAAATGGTAGGTACACTAATAAACCAGTAAATTATGTTAATAGTTGTAGTAATGACCGGAAAAGTCTTCAAAATTATATTCACGCACTTGTTATTTCTTACGAAATGCAGTGGAACAGCAGCGAGATAAAATCTAAGTAAAATATTGTTCCTCTTAATAGAGCAGCACCTTAAAAGTTAACGTCAAGCGGGTCCTGCGCCAGCGCGGGGCGGCGCGTTGACGTCACTCCAACCATAGGTATAAGTTAGCTCTACCGCTGGCGATGCCACTGTCATTCGAAATTTAGCTAATCGTGTACACTTGAACTTAAAATCATTATAAATTAAGCAAATTGAGTAAACAGTAAAGATGCTGCGGTACTTGTGTTTCCTGGCTATCATATTAGGAGTCAGATCGGCTTTAGGTAAGGCAGATATTTGTCAGTCTTTATCATTTACGAACTTTTCACAATCAACTAATTAAAAGTTCTAAATAAGTTCATCAAAATACTATTTACAGTGGTCTTAGAGAAAATCTGAACTAACGAGCCTAAATAAGTAACGAAGTAAAACCAAATGTAAGTTGAACTAATTGGAATATTTTCATTTTCGACTTCAAAAAAAGAAGGAGGTTTTCTATAACTCCGCCATTTGTGAACCGATTTTGATGATTATTTTTTTGTTGCAAACAAAGTAGGTGCCCCAGGAGTGGTTCCATTTAAATTAGAAGAAAATATTCCTCATCTAAGGGTGGCATACTAGGGGAAGAATGACTTTTGAGGTCGGTTTTTTTAGTACTCTGTTCTGAGATTATGTCCTATTAGTTCAATAGATAGTGGAATAGATATATTTTTTCCTCTTAATTTAAAAATTAATTAATTGTATTTTCGCTTAGCGCCGTTCATAAAGCCATGCAAGACCGGCGACCGGCAATGCATCATCCGCTCCGCACAGGCGGCTCTGCCCATCGTTGCCCCCGGCATTCCCGAGCTGAACGTGCCGTCCATGGACCCGCTGCGGCTCGACCTAGTCAAGGGTGACACGGGCAGTCTTAAACTTACCTTCAAGAACACTGATGTGAAGGGGATGAAAGGATGTTCTGTTGATAATGCTAAGTGAGTATAATTTTACTGTACTAGCCTTTGTTATCAACGAGCTTAATAGTGATTGATGGCCAGAGATAAAAGCTGTATCCGACACTATCAGCGTCTGTCGAATAATTACTAATAACTGCCTGTCAATTCGTCTGCAAATTCAAAACTCAACAGTGACTTACTAACAAAACAGTAGTAATAAAATTATTACTAGTTAGATATAGACTCTCGGTTAGCATTCAACGCATTCAAACACCAAATCTAATTTCAGAGTGCACCAAATTAGTTTCATAAACTTTAAAGAAAGTGTAAATTTAATGTCACTAGTTAGCAAGTAAAAACTTTCGCTACTTGATTTACATGTTCGTTGTGAACAAGTGGTGCACGAGCTAACTCTAAACGGTGTAATAAAAAAGATTCAATACCTATGTATTTGATGTTGGTGATCCTATTGATAATTGGAGCACAAAAAAAACTTGTATGAGGAACCAAAGACATTATTTTTTTTCGAGGAAATGAGGAAGATTATCTCTGAGGTATGGTGGGCCTTATATTATGTAAATGCGTATGTACTTTGAAATATTTCAAATTGTAATTGTTTCTAAGATATATTGTTTTCTGTGTTTACTAAAGCAAGACCAAAATGGTAGGACCATGCCCTTTTTAGTAGATCTAGAATAGTAATGTGTTAACAAAAAATTATCGAAGATACTTCTTTCTTTGTACTTCCGGATGCGTCGCGTACAATTTCTTACGAAGGTTTATTTGCTTTCAAACCATTTGATATGTTGGTACAAAATGCAATAAAACTGGAATGGACTGCATTCAGTAAGCTAGATGACATCCCGAAGTCGGTTGATGCACCACAATGTTGAAGACCCACTTATTCAACCAAAGTGTCTATCGGTGCCGAGACGTGGACGCTCACACAGAGAGCTGTGTACAGAATGAGAGTCGCACAGAGCCATAGAGCGAGTAATGCTCAGTATCAAACTTGTAAATCGAGTTCCGAAATCCGAAGACGGACTAAGGTCTAGGACATAGCGCAGGTACTTAAATTGGAGCTGGGCAGTACATATTGTGAGACGTGGTGAAGACAGTTGGAGTAAAGCGATAACCAAATGGTGACCAAAAAATGTAGCGAGATGGGTGGACGATATCGTCAAATATGCGGGCCATAGATGGGTGAGACTAGCACAGGATTGTGGTAAATGGCATAAACTCAGCAGTGGGTGAAGCCGGGCTGTTGATGCTGGATGACGATGGTATACAGGGTTGTGATTGCAACGAACCGTTCCAAGTCATCAAGCAAGCTTGTTACAAATAATACCCAAGGGGGAATACCTAAAGGTCTCTTCACCGGTCAGTCTACAGTTTACGAAATTTACTAAGAAGTTACGAATTAAATAATCACTTTTATTGTGTTTTCTTCGGTTAATGCCTACGTACTTTAATAAACGTAATTCTCTCAAATGAATATAAATAAACTCGATGCATTGTAACAATTTCATTTGTTGGATTAATGTGATGTACTACCAACATCAAATAACGTAATCTGTGGTTCATATTATCTGCAATATTATAATATTATTTAGTTACCAAGTTAACTACGTAGGTAACGTTCAAACAAAACACTACAAACAACGGCCGTTTCCTCTTCGTTAGGTGCATGTTTGCTCACGTATTAGTATGAACTTAAACACAAAAAGGACATCTTGTAAGCTTGTATCATGAATAAAATACTACTTATTATCACAAAAATATAAGAATTGGATTAGTTGTTTCCCATTAGGATATGTAGAGACTACGATTACCCATCCGCAACGTTCCTGACATACCTACCCGTTGACGTACTCAACTCGCATCAATATTTTCAAAACGTGGAAAAAAAGGAAAGAAAGTTGGTTATTAAATTGGTAAAGGAACACTTTGACGTCGAATTTATAGATATACTTACATGTTTCTTTTTGTTGCGATTTCGAATGTAATAAAGACGTGAAAAACAACAATTTTCAACATTAAAGTATAATACGTAACGATACTAAAATCTGGTTTATCTTATTATATACATTTTTGAAATATATCCAAAATAGAGAGATACAATTTATACATTGCCAGCTAGTTTCAGAAAAAGATGACCTTTGTAGGAATACTATTAACCAAAGTAGAGGCAAACCATCACAATACGTAAGACAGAAATATTTTTGCCGAAAAAAAGTAACTCCTTGCCCCAATAGCTCAGTGAATACACTGCAGTTTGTTTCTGTACAAATCTCTCCAATTACAGTCAACGTCGTAAAGGAAGACCTTGGCCGCGGCGAAGGTGGAGGTCATTGTGTGCCAGGACCACCAAGCGTAATTGACTATAAACCGCACAACATTTATTGCTACTCAGCTCTCTATGTCGTAACGCTTATTCTGGTTTGTGGTTACTTTTATTTACCTATGAACACATGTCAGAAAAATGAGTTGCGGTCGAACTATTTTATTTTAAAGAATATGAAGTAATTTGCAAACGCAGTACATAAACATAAACTTGTCTTAAGTTTATAAAATCACAATCACACCAAACATCAGTAAGAAAACGAGAGAGAAAATAAAACAAATAAATTAACCAAAAAATAAAAATAATTAAACAAAATTTTAAGGTTACCATTGTTCCTCATGGAACTGAGAAGATGGAATTACTGGGAATAAAATGAATTATCACCAGTCGCGTGATGTGCAAAGTGATTTTAGTTTTTTGTTATTGGAACCATTTCAAAAAGAAATGGCGCTAACTATTATACCTAACGATTTAACGTAGGTACTTGTGAATCATAGCTTTCTCATTATTGTTTATGTTATGATTGATTTGAAAAATGAGGCCTGGTTCTGCTATAGTGTATTGTAGAAGAGCTATAGCACTGATTCATATGTCATGTAGTGCAAAAAAATGTGGTCAAATGCCTGAAAACACAAACTACAATCCGACAGTTGCAAGCCGTATTTCATTAACCTCCAATTACTAAACCTCCCCTCTTTATTTATTCAAGAAGTCGTCACATTTGTAAGAAATAATCTTAATCTGTTTGAACACAACATGAGTGCATATCGCAAAGACAAACTGAGCCTCGCAGAACCGATTCTAGAAATCTATAAAACAAGGCCCATATTATATAACAAAAAAACAATTAATTCACTTCCAAACTAAAGATATTACTTGTAGAAAAACATATTATTCAGTCTCAGAATTCATGCAGGATAGTGATCTCAAGGTCTAACAATATCATCTCGATGCCTATAGCCTATATTTATATTTAATATCTAATACAAGCATACATTCTTTGCCGCAAATTTATATTACAAGCTATTATAACACAAACTGGGTTTCAATACAATTTGCTATACCCTGGCAAAGTACATGTGATTTTTTTATTTATTTGTCACGTCTGTATTTATACCATGGTTGCAATAAACGATATTATATTCTAAAATAATAAAAATGGAGCCGACTCTACCACTCTACCATGAAGTGGTGTGCAACAGGGATATGAATGAATTATGATATGTATTATCTACAAATTTGATGATCATATTAAAAGTCATATTCAAGTATATGTATAAGAATAATAACTATTATCGGTGCTGATGTCACTACGTAATCTATTTTATTAGACAAGGACCTAAGCAATACATTCTATTGTTTGACACGTTGGGATTATTTGCAAGCGATATAGAGTTTAATTTAAATCCTTACTGTTGAACTTAACGTGTTCTTTACCTAACCATTAAGTTTTAGCGAGACTCCATATTATTGACAGCGATTTATGCGAGAGTGGTGATAATGAAGACGACACGATTTTCTCTTGTTCCTTTTTCCTCCAACAACCCCTGTTTTCACGTGTTCCTTTAAATACCTACCCGTGTGTCATGCCTCCTCCTATTATAATGTATTACATTCATTTGTTAATGTTAATGATATAAAAATTTGGTCCTTATATGCGTTTCATGTAATTTAGGGTCGAAACAGAAAACTGCGAATCGGCGCGATGCGAATTGCTGCGGCAAGGAATCTCACAGCTACGGTTCGGGTAACCGTTCTTTCGACGATCATCAACCGTAATGAACGTATTTTTTAAACTAGGTAGCAACATGGATCGTAAAAAGAGTGCTGCACTGCTGTTATGGATAAGAAAGTATAGGAAAAAAACACAAAGAAGGTTAACATCGCAGGAATGCGCGATGCGGAGCAATTCGCAAATTCTTGCGATGCGACGTCGCATCGCAGTTTTGTGTTTCAACCCTTACGTAAATCATAACTTCCTTACATAGGTATCTATATAATAAAACTCCTTTCAAACTTAGCTCTCCTGATAAATTTGTCCTTTCCTTTTTGATTTTCCTCTTTTCCCTTTCATTTTTACTTTGACGTCGGCACTTAATAATAATAATTTCAGCACACAGTACTAAAAAAACGCCCTCAAAAGTTTGTGGAATGCATCTATTTGCCAAGTTTTTTTGAAATCGGTTACCGGAAAGTACGCGAAACCGGATTCATCCCCTAGTTTGCTACCCTTGGGGGTGGAGTATTTTCTTCAAATTGAAATGGAACCACTACTGAGGTACCCCCTTTCCAACAAAAAAGAATCCTCAAAATCGGTTCACAAATTCACAAAATCACCGGAGTTATCGCGTAGTATACAAACAAAAAAAAGTACTGTCGAATTGAGAACCTATTCCTTTTTTTAAAGTCGGTTAAGAAAGCTACGTTAAATAATTATTATAGTGTTCCTACTGTACAAAATACAGAAATTGAAAATAACGAAATATTTAGAAAGTAGGTCATACGGATACATCGAGCAAATTTGTATGAAGCTAAACAGATTTAGTTATGCTTTACGAAGATTACGGCAAACTGTCTCTCGAGAAGCTGCTCAGCTACGGTCTTGTACTGTGGGGCAACTTAGTAGTGTTAGAAACAGCTTTTAAGTTTCAGAAGAAGTGTATTCGAGCGATTTGGGCGGCGTGGTTCGATGACAGTTGCAAACGCTGTTCAAAAGCTAAACATATTCCCTTTGCCCTGTATGTACGTACATACATTAGGAATATCTGCGTATTTGTCAACTCTCATCCTCAATATTTTAAAACACGTGGTGAAGTCATTCAAAGGCAAGCTAGAGCAAAAATTATGTATCTTTTATACCAACTTCGTTGCCATAAAGCGATTTATAAGAATAACTGCTTCATCATTACGTGTATCATTGTTTTCAATAAATTACCAAATTAAATTAAATTGTTACAAGGATATACTTTTAAATTGGAATTGGCAAAATGGCTTTTGACACATAGCTTCTATAGTAATAAAGAACACTTAGAATTTACAAATGCATTATATTAATTTGAAATTAAAGAAACTAAACATTAAATGCCATTAGTACTTGCGCATCTGCTTGCAGTTTGAATACAATGTACCTTATTTTACTCGAGAGCTATGTAATTACCTTACTGTATTCTAGCAAATAAACGCATTCTATTCTATTAAAAAAAGTAATGAATTTTATACCAATATATTATTATTCACAGACAAGACTTAGTCAAGGGCAAGGCGTCGGTGACGATTCGGTGCACGGTGACGTTAACGGGCGACTACGAGCTCGGCGGGCAGCTCGCCTTGCTGCCTGTGCAGGGGCAGGGCAAATACACAATCGACATACGTGAGTATCCGATAGGAGATACTTAAATGCTAGAGTCGCTTCCTACAACTACTGTCAACGAAAGTAACCTAGGTAAATATTATAGTTTCTTTAACTATTTATTTCCCGTTAGGCGACCATTTTAAAGTACCTAGTTTAATATTCACTTAGTTGACTTCTGAACAAAAGAGTTATAAGGAGGTACTTAATTATGTTTCCCCTTTTTCAGGTGATATAATAATAAAGGCGTACACGGACCAGGAGACTGTGACGGGCGCGGACGGCAAACCGCACTGGCACATTAAGGACTGGCGACACACCTACCAGGTTAAGACCAGCACCGTTTTCCACTTTGACAACCTCTTTGGCGGAAACAAGGCACTAGGTAAGAGTCAAAAAGTGTGTTAGTTTAGTAACAAACGAGGTTACGCAATGTTCAACCTCAAATCTAGTAACATGTGCTGCTAAACGACGGATTTGTATAATTGTACCCGTCAACTGTGATTAGTACATGGGAAAGAAGCTTACGGTAACTTATGTACACTTGTATCATTCATATAAGCTATTTATTATCATTATCGCTGATATGTAGATATTATTTTCTAGGCGAGCCGATCCAGCAGTTCCTAAACTCCAATTGGCGCGACGTAATGAACGAGGTAGCTCCCCCCATTGTGTACGCGATCGTTGAAGGCGTCGTCAAAGGTGTCGAGGCTCTCTACAAGGCAGTCCCCGCTGAAGAGCTCTACATTCCATAGAATTGTATTCATAATACGGGTGTTTTGAAAATCATTCCTAACTTGCCTGATTGTCTGTACAATTATTGCAGGGGCTAGCTGGCTGTATATTTATTTTTAAATTTAGTGTAGAATTAAACGATTTTCCTGATTTTGAACGGTTTTCAGTTTAATTTTTACTTTTAGAGATTCGTGTTGGTTGCCTAACGTTTGTAATACTTCGTTTCAATCCATTTTAAACAAAAAGTAAACAAACAAGTCACTGACCCGACCATAGATGGTTTAGTGATAGCTAATTGTAACGCCAACTACAAATCGATTAATTAATAGAATGAATGGATTTGTTCAATTGAGTCATACTAGCGATTTTCCTTACATAACTTATATAAGCATATTCAAACTTCAATTTAAATCCTCCTTTTAATCCTTACACTTAGATACTCGTTCGATTGCGATTGAAATGTTCGATTTAATAATCGATTACTAAACTTTAATTGATTGAACCGAATGTTTTTTTTTTCGAACAGCACTACGCAACCATAGGCAAGTCATAGAAGTATAGATGAATAATAACCTTACTTTTGGACTACCATTTTTCAAATACAATTTTACGATGCTATCCAAATGAATATTGTTGGAAAAAGTGATGATATACCAAGTCGAAATCTTCGAAATATACATGAAAGTGTTACTTGTTCGATTTATTGAATGATTGCTTTAGAATTTTAACCAAACAGGTTTGTTTACTTTTTGTTCAAAATGGATTGGAACGGACTATAATACAAAATTCGTGGAACGAAACGTAACGTAAACGTCAAAAAATTATTGAAGGAGGTTATGTTTTGGCAAGCAATTTCTTCTGGTTCATAAAAAAACTGGTAAGAGTAATGAAAAATGTTGTGTCCAGAGGTCGTGAACTTTCCACCGCCAAAAGTGATGTCTTCATGTAATCGAAGCGAAAATCTCGATTCTGTTATAGAAACCATCGAAAGGAACTATTTCTATAAAAGTGTGATCATAACGTGCCCTGACGAACTACACATACCGACCTCCATTGAGGAAATGATTACCGAAGACAACGAATACTATAAAATATACGGCTGTTCACTTACCGAGTTAGTACAACCAAGTTTCATTCAAAACTTCGTTAAAAACGGCAATCTGTATTGTTTGTCCGCAGACAGAAACTGTGTCAGTCAAAACTGTGTTGCTGTCACTCCTGATGGCGTGCTAACACTCAATTTACTGGAGTACATTTTTCAAACGACAGGGTTGGAAGGCGTTAAGCGACCTTTCGGTTTCTACGAAGTGAGCATAGACTTGAAAACCTTGAAACGATATGACAAATTAAAACAATGTCTACAAAAATTGGAGAAATTCGATTTTTACGTGTCCTGGGAACCATATCAAGATGATGTATGTCCATCATCAATAGCAAAGTATTTCCACAATAGAGACATTGTTGTTGCCCAACAGACACTGCATAATAGAAAAGTAATGCCTTCAATCACTGAAGTTCCTTCGCCTAAGGACACAGATGCAGATGAAATGGCAGAATGGATAGGAATGCTGGCTCATGAAGGGGATTTATTCCAAAAAGAGACTTACATCAGCACATATGTACACCCTGATAGTGATTTTGCCCTGAAAACTGCAAGAATATGTTTGCACATAGCAAAGGGATTCATAACTCCTACTGTAGTTAGTAATGTTTGTAAACTTATGTCAGAGTATGTGTTGTCGAGGGAGTTGGATAATTACTGGATAAGTATAAGCATTCAAAGTCATGAGAACAGCCTCTGGCAATGGAGTCCCAGCAGTGCACGCATGTTCCAGGCCCACGATTCCTCTTGCAACATCTATTTCACACACGAAGGAATGAGTACATATTCAATAGGACAAATAAAGTATTCATAATATTATGAACTGTTTATTCCTTTACACCACCACTTATAGAATAAACAGTGATGGTTTGAGGTCATAAAATCAATAAAAAGATGCACAGCAATGGCCAACACTTCATTGCAATGTGTGATCATTATAGTATTTTTATGTAGTTTATAATACAGCTATTATGCTCAACGAGTGTTAGGTTAATAATTCCAGAGGATTTCTAGTCAGTGCAGGGTCAAGAGCACATCGAGCTCGACACTTAACACTTAAATAAAAAACAGTCCAAAGTACAAAGTGTCAAGCTCGATGTGTTGACTGTACAAGACATCATGGTTAGCTATTTAGTACCTATTGGTACACCAGATGTCGCGACGAGTACGAAGTAGCTATTTTTTGTAACTCATTGATGAACTATGATTTATCCAAGCTACTATAATTTCTAGTAATAACGAATAAATTAACTAGATGGAGCTTAATTCACAGATTTTTATGGACACTGCCATGCTATTTTATTTTGGATCAGTGCCATCTACTCATACTAGTAAGTTAGCGTTTATAGTTTGTAATACACACTGCCATCTATTGACACGCATATTTATCAAGGTTAAAAAAAAAATATTTTAGTTCATGGAAGAATACAAGTGAAGTCAAACAAATTTTGTTGCTCCATTAGACACAGAAAAGTATAACCCACATTGTCTCCAATTCTTGTAACTGTATTGTCTGATATTGTAGATATACTTACAAGAATTGGAGAGGATGTGGGTTATATTTTTCTGTATCTAATGGAGCAATGAACAAGTTTCACGTAATTCCACTTATACTATTCTTCCATGAGGGGTGCGATTTGAATATTACAAGGAAGAACGGACTACTTATGTTTCATATTAAAGATGAATTCATCGATATCCACCGGCATTTACATAATATAAACCACTTCCAGGATATCGATCAGCGCAAACTAGATAGAAGGCGGAATTTTGACCTTTTCCAGTGTTATGATCTCCATACTGCAGGTATGGAGATTAGCAGTCCACTTAGGTCATTGGTCCATGGCTCAATGTACTAAAAATTATTGTCCTCTTTTGTATGTTACTTCTACAAGTAGTACGACAGAGCAGGCGATTGAAAAATAATTCGAATTTGCCAAATTGACGTTGTTTTAGCGGCACTTTGATGGTCGCCCAATTAACAATTTTGTTCACGCTCATGTCACCCTGTGAACTCTGCCGTCGAGATAGTCGTAATAAATGTTACACGTTCGTTAAACACCTTGAAGTTTGCGTTTCTTGTGCACGCTATTGCTATGTTCACTGTGTACTTCTTATTTGGTTCTAAAAAAAATAAAAATAAAATATACTAGAAGTTTTATTGAAACAACAAGTTCACTACCAAAAATGTAAATACACACCCACACCAAGTTTGCAGATTTCTAAATAATATGTACTTCAAATAATAACAGGCAATGCTTATATATCTCAAAAGGACTTATTCTGTTTCAAACAGCTTTTGTAATTAATTTCCAATGCTATCTTTCTTATGTAGTGAAAATCAACTAAGTATATTATCAAAATGCCTAAAAATTCAATTCAGGTAAAAACAAAATCGAAGCAACATTGAAAGACAAAATATACCATTCGTACCTTTAATTGGGTTCATGTCAATATTTTGGCCAAACAGTCAAGGTTTTCCTGAAATAATGAATGAAGTCCTCTTGTTAATCATTCTACAGTAAAGCGCTTGCTAACATGCCACTTCATACTATTTAGAATTTGACTTAAGTGAAATCTAAATAATTGAGCTAAACATTTGCATAAATTCTTTTATTTTTTATAAGTAAAATAAAGTGAAACCCGGCCACCAGACATTACCACCAGTTTGCTTCACCACTCTTGTTGTGTATAATAATTATATAATTTTATTGGTGAATTTACAATTTCACTTAAAATTAGGAACAATTTAAACCTTAATGTATATTGCTTGATTTGAATCATTTGATTGAATTGAAGCCGTCCATAAATGTCCAGCTCAAGGAACTACAACTGCTGACAGCTGGACGAGTCAGGATGAGGAAAGCAAGGGGTCTAACCGGCGACCTGCGCGAGACCAATAACGCCGCAAGCGATGCGTGCGCCCGCGTTGCCCGTGGTCTTGCTGAGTTCATGGCCGCCCTGTCCCATGTCGTCCGGGTCCGCGTGCACCACCAGCGTGCGCCCCACTATGCTGTTCGGGCCACACAGAGAAATCGCAGAGTCCGTGATGCAGATCTGTGGACCAAACAGACATGTGCCGATACAGATATTTTGGTGAAATTACAGGCACATGGTCTTGAGAACTTATGTCTCAGGGTGACGGGCGCAGTGGCGGTGCCCCTCAGATCTTTGTGATTTAAAGCTGTGAGTGACACTGCAACTGTTATGGACAGGCGTGTAGCTTGCCAACAGGCGCACGACTTGTTCGTCCCGTCACTTGATATTATAAAAAAAAGAAAAAACAAAGATATATATTTAATGTCAGGCACAAGGATACTATAACCTGTAAGAAATATATAATCGTAAAATAGAAAAATGGTTTTCATTACTTATTTATTAAAATATTATAAGGGTAAATAAACTTATTCCATATATTCATTTAAAAGTTTATTAATTGATATTATTAGGTTTCCAAAATGTTACAGTGTGTCGGAGTTGATTGTGATTGGTCCGAACACTATCTACCGGTTCGACTAGTCAATGCCATTGCTTTTAAAATTTCCTACTTGCGAAAAAATGGCTGGAATTTAAAAAGAAGGGATTTAGGTCTTTAGGTGAAAGAAAAATTTATGTATTCGTATTTCATCAAATGTTCAAGTTAGATTGGTCAAGAATTATAACGGTATTTTGTGGTTACAAATTTTGTTGAGCATATTTTGAAGTTCTAATATAAATTGTTGGAGGAATAGATAATTTAATAAATCAGTTTGGTTAATACGGCGGTTTGTTGGAGTGTTTGGGAGAAGTCTACGAACCGTTTTTAGAACTTCTGAGAAACCTATGGTTGCAAATGGTTTTGTTATGACTGTGTCAAGGCTTGGCCTCCATTTCACAGGCACCCTGAATAATTTTGTAATCCAAATTCTAAATCTTGTGCCTTAATGGAAAATTATAAACAAAAAAATAATAAATGTCAAGCAGGTGCTACGGCCTGTATAAAGATAGTAGCTAATTCAAACTAGCCAAACGTGACTGTAACCGCTGTGAAATGATGTAAGAAATTCGAATGCTGAAATTACCTTAGTAACACCGCCATCGGAAGTGGCTTCAATGTTGCCGAGGTCGCCGACGTGGCGAATGGGTGCGGTAGGTGCGCCGTGATCGCACTTGTCCGGGTTAAAGTGCGGGCCTGCGGACGTGCAGCCATTCGTATTGTCGCCGAACTCGTGCACGTGGAAACCATGCTTGCCCTAAAAAGAAATTGTCATAATCGCCATTGTAATAAGTGTTAACTCATAACCCTGAAGAGTAAATCTGGGCACCGTAATTGTTGCATAAAAGGTTTGTATACAATATGATACTTCTTCTAGTGAACGCTATTGCTAAGGGTGCTGCCCAATTTGCCATGAAATATTGTGAAGTATTTTACGTGGTCAACTGTCACTGTAAACTCAAGGCAATATTACTTTTTTATGGTTCATGGTCTCAGCTACAAAGAAGTTTTATATTTAAAAAATGGACCGTCTTTGCGATCTGGGCTTGGAATATCGGTATTTTAAGGAACCGGTACGACTAAATCCTACTGCGGTACCGGTACTTGAGATATCAGCGGTACAAATAACAAATGTATTTTCAAGAAACGATTTTACTGACCCATGAGATCAATTGTCCGCATCGAGACGCGACGACTGTCGTCGGTATCAAATGTCGATATCAAATATCCGGCATTATATAGGTTTTTGTAATATCCGTATACCGGTAAATTATTCCGGTACTATAATTAATAGATATACCAGATACGCGATCTCATCTGATCCCAAAGTAAGTAAAACGTTTGAGTTATGGAAATCGGAAACAACGGCGATACCACAAGCAGCCAGACCCGAGACATATAGATAACTTAGTTTTTCTACATAGATTCAGAGATGGCGACACCATGACCGGTGTGAAAGCCACTCAACCACGGAGATAGTAGATTATACAATACAATACAATACAAAAATTCTTTATTGTACACCAAAAAAGAAAACAAATACAATACAATTAAATTAAAAATAAGCGGTGGTACAATGGGCGGTCTTATCGCTTTAAGCGATTTCTGCCAGACAACCTTTGGATGGAAGTAATTATATAATTCACAGGAAAAAAAATTATTATATTTTTTATATTTACAGGATTATTTGACAATAATAAATTTATCTTTTCTTCTGTTTTGTATTCAATAATTTAAATGCAATGAAATAATCAACGTGATTTACGGGGCGCTGGCAAACGTAGCAAACTGGCAACGTCCCTGGTATTGGTACTTTTAGGTACATAATATTGGTTTTTCATTGGTTCTGGTATTCAGGTATTGAAATAGAAGCATGGACCATGGACTGGTATGGATCAGTACAATGTATTGGATAACTGACCCAGTTTACTTGTTGACGTCATCATAAGACAAGGTAAAAAAGATTATATATCTACATAATCCAACTATCTCTGCTAGCTGATTCGTGAATCACTACTCGGTCAAGCCAATTTATAAAAGCAATTGGTGTTTTTATACTCTGTTAATAAATTGGTAGGCACATATAAAGCCAAGTCTATATAAAACATATATTTTTATTCATTACCAAGTATTTATTAAAGTTCCAACAAGTTTATTTGTTCCATTAAGACTCTTGTTTGTGACGTTACACAAGCATAATCAAATTCAAGGTCATCTGACCTAGCTGACATTGCATTACGCAGTGGAATTTATTTAATTTCATTAATTATTTACGTACACACTGTGTCAATGGTCAAGTCTGGACGTGATAATCACTAGTTACCATTAAATAATGTATTAAATATCTGGTACACTTAATAATATATCATTATATAATAAATATTTTATAAATTACTATGTCTTTATTTATTTTATATTTTAATTTATACAATTTATTTTTTATTTTTATATTTGTATAATTGGCACACTACGTCTCCCGCTCCGATTAGCTTTCCTCTAACTCAAAGGCTGTCTGGAAGAGATCGCTCTTAGCGATAAGACCGCCTTTGCCGACATTAGTTTGAAGTTGTTTATGTACTATTCTTGTTCTTGTGTGTGAGCAATAAAGTGTTTATCTATCTATCTACACTTATGGAATTAAGAAAAAAACAGAGAGTGCCAGACAATGACAAACCTAACCCACCTCAAATGAGGAAAATCCCCGTAATATGAATAACAGAACATTGACATTCTATTAATTGACATACTCACACCTGTAAACCAATTCAGCAAAAAATTGTTTACTGAAGTCAATTAGAAGCAACTAACTCATCTATGAGCACAATTTAGTTGTTTTTCTGTTTCTTGAAAATATTCCAAATTCAACAAAATTACGTATGTATTATATTTTTAGTTGCATTAATAGACGATACAAATGAGTATGCCAATGTTTGTAGAAATGCAGATTCGTGTTATATAATTATATGAAGATTTAATTTGTGACAAACGTAAACATAGCACTTACAAACAGAATTAACAAGCATACTTCTGAACATTTAAGGTCTTTACCTTTGAGAGTCCTTTAACTTCACCAGATACTGTAACTGGACCTTTCTCCTCCTGCAAAATAAACACATTTATACTGATTATCATCGTACATTTTATTACATCATGTGATTATGATTATTTTCTTGATAAAGAATGTTGGTACTTTTAACATAAATAACCTATTTGAGAGAATAATCAAAGTCAATAGTCAGTGTTAAAATAAGAAAGCTCTGACACAATAAGAAGAAACAATTTCTGGTCAGGGCAGCTTGCACCATAGTTCTTATAAAATCATGTGTAGTAAGTATATTGGATAAGTTACTATTTTTTTTTTTTTTTTTTTTTTTATTATCCGAGGGAATCTGCTTACAGATACCCCGGCCCCGCGGGGGCAGAGCCGGGGTTATGTGGGACTGGGCTGAACCCTGAAGGGGAGCAGCCCGACCGCACTAAACCCCCGGAGTGTTCCTCCCCTCCGCTGTAGGTGGGGGTACGGGTACGCTGTTGCACTCGTCCGCGCCCCCACCAGCGGCTGGCCGCGCCCTGCGCAGCGCCTGGTCTAAGCCCACTTCTTGATTCCCAACTTTGTCCGATAAGAATGATGTTACAATTTATTATTATATCAGTAAAAATTATTACATTTTCTATACATGTGTTACAGATTTTAACATAATGGGCTCATTAATGGTTATTTTATACAAAATTAATAACCTGCAAGTCAATTATTGTACAATCAAGAGTACATGAAGTTTGACACTTTGAAGTTTAGACCGTGTTTTTTCAAGTGACATAGAATTTAATTTAAATCTTAAGTGTCGAGGTTGACAAGCTCTGAATCTGTAATGTAGATTGAGTGATATAATGTAGTACGGGCTCAAAATGTAATCACGATTCAATTTCAGATTCATAAATTCTACTCTCAATTGAATTGCAAATGATAGAGATTTCAAAGAAGCCCTTGTGTTAAGTTAATATAGACTATCTATCAGTAAAAACATAGTATATAGTATATAGTAGCTACAGGCAAGAGATGTGTGTCAACCGTACAACTCATGTGTGATGGTTTTTCGACCAACGGCAACAACTAATCGAAGTGGCAGATACAAAACAACTTGTAACTTCTACTTAAGCAGGTAGGTAGATATTATTTCTAAATAACTAAGAATTTTGTAAAAAAAAAACATAAAAATGCTCGTAATTCACATCTAGTATGAGCAGGATGTATGTAAACAGGAATGTACTTGAATTTAATTGTACAGAAATATTGTATTGAAATTTAGGAAAGCATTAATAAACAAGCTTAGATACTTCATTAACGTAAAACCAATTTTCGTCACGCTGATTTTACGTCAGTCAAGTTCATCAGCGGCAGAGGCGTGAAAAATAGTCGACGGCGCGGTGCACATTTCTACTTCGGACATATGAGCACTCATAAACGGGTATTATTAACAGCATCTGATTAAGTGCGGTCTTATCAAATAGAGGTAAAACACATTCAAGGTCATGACACATACAACTATAGGTTAATATACAAACACTTATTTCTTAGACATCTACTTTGGCAACGATTATTTTACTGATGTTATCAACTGTTACGTGGGCTACTCAAGTGTAACATGCAAAAATTAACGAACAATATCAAAAGAGGTCCATTAAGCGTATCATAGGTAGGAATAGCTCAGTACGAGTTATTATATTTAGAGCGTTGCGAGGTTTGAATTTACTGGGAGCCCCATGTAGGCGTATTGAAATAATTAAAAAAAAATCCCATAACAAGTTGTTATGACCTACCTACCTACTTACATAGGTTATGAATTGCTACGAAATATCCAAATTTATAAGGGAATTCGTTGATGATACGCCGAAAGATATATTTTTTCTTTCTACGCGTGGAATTTTGACGATTCATGTAACCAGTGAACATAGCATAAGGCAACCAGAAACGTAATTACCTTTTGATCGAAGTAAACTGTGCCGGTTACATCGCCGTGTAAAATACACACTGCCTTCTTCATTGTTTACTGTAAATCTCAATTGATCCCGTAATAAGTTAAACAAAATGTAGTCGAAGGGTACTTAAATGATAAATGACAATTTATTACACCTTTCGCGAAAATTCTACAAAATCTGAAAAGCGACGAACGACGAGACGTTTTTAATTAATGACGTTTCACTCGGACTTCGGAATTTAAAGCTAAGGGTTGCTACAAGAAAATTGTTTCTAAAAAGTCCACGTTGATTTTTCTAAGATTTCTCTTTATCCTAATACACACAATTAATACCAAGGTGTTACATATTGTTTGATATTTACGTTGAAGATTAACGTTTATCGTATAATGGTTTTGATACTGTGATTATTGTAGTCGGATTTGAGATGAGTATAATTAAAAATATTGTAACCCCAAAGTGACAGCTTGTAAAATACTTTATACGCAAATAAAATAAAACGTTTTCTTTGTAAAAAAGCAAATTAAAATATTTTACTGAATTAAAATTAAAATTTAATCACATAAATAATAAATATAGTAACTAATTATTTTACAATTATGCTCTGTACGTATGATAAGAAGAACTTTAAATGTGGGTATAAAAATTGGTTATGTTTAAACCGGTAAACCGAACGCCATAACCTTCCTTTTTGTCAATCCCAGCCGACAGTGTTTGTCTTAAATTTAATCAATTTAAAAAAATATTTTGAAACTTCAGTAACTAGTAACAAAGGCAAAATTTAGAAGACTATATAGAGCAATCGGTGTATAAAATTTAACTCGCGTTCCTCTCTCAATTCGATATGGAGGGAGACAACGTAGTTGTCGATATTCCGATCTGTTCAAGTGTACGTAAATATATTGTTGAATTTCTGGGTAGTCCTTAAGTACGCTCAGAACACAGAAAATAAACCTTCTTTTGTGTTTTCAGGTATTATCCACAGACATGAACACGGCAAGCACTGACAAAACAGATGAACTGACCAGGGTATGAAGACAAGTATATTGTTGTTCTGATTAATCATATCAATTATTTCAAACTCTATATCGTCGCTGAACAAACGACACCGCTGCTTATATTATTGTATACAAGATTTTTTTGAGCTGATAGCGTTCTATTTATGGATAGCAAATAATTGTACCTACTTTTGTAATTTTTATTGGCACATAAAACCGCCAATTATTTTCTTGAGTGATGTTGTTTATAAAGAGACGATATTTGGGTCAAATTAATCTACTTCTAATAATTTATTCTACTTGAGTGTTGCAAAAATTAACCTAAAAGTTAACCTTAGAACTAAGTCCAAAGTCATGGTAGCACAATTTCGTTTAATTAAGGTTGTGGGGAACTGTATACGTTTTTGCAATAAGATTCTGGAGCATATTATATATAGTAACAAGTATGTTAAGATTATCATTTCCTAAGTTTAAAATTTACAATAAAAGTGTTTTAATTGAAAAGTCTATTACAAAATTGAAGAGTATGTATTAGATAAAGACGAATGGAAAGAACATGGGTCTAGTAGGTCTAGACAAAGTATATTCCATAGCATTTAAGTTTATTTGAAAAGAGCTATCTCTAAAGTTTCGTGTACATTATTTTCTGGACGGTCAGCGCAGTGAACGAGTAGCTTAAAAAATAATATTTTCAAGTGTAAAAATTTTACCTACGGAATAAATGATTGACTTTGTGTTATTTCAGAAATGCCCACTGTGCCAATCAGATATAAGATTGTTCTTCATAAACTACAATGAGAAATTTCTCATGTGCGAAAACACTGAATGTGAGTTCCCTTTTGGGTATGAGGAGCTGCAGTTTGTCACTATTGACAGTGACATCTCTATGGCTGATGTGTGCAGTGTACGCAGCGGGGTAAGTCTGCCCTCACCGCGGTATACTGCCTCTAGCGTTTCCCAGTCTGGACTGTCTGAAATGGAACGAATTAACCAAATGTATGAATCAGGTGAGGACAACGAGATTAACGAAGAACAAGAAATACATAAAAAGGAACTAAAGAAAGCAAATAAAGAAAAGTATTTGAAGAAGAAACTAAAAAAAGAAAGTGATGAAAAAATTAGGAAGCACCTTGAGGACATTGACAATTTGCATAAGGAGCTGCTCTCACACACATCTCCACAGAGTGATGTTGGTCAGATTAGGAATCAAAAGTGGATTAGGAAGTTGAAAAGTCTCCAGGAGGCGAGTGGTGTGGATGACTTGGTGAAACCAGAGGAGATGCAGCTACTGAAGAAAGAAGAGCCAGTACTGGGTCTGGGGGAGCTCAAGATCGACATTGATCCTGGGGACAGCTCCAGCATGTCCACCATTAAGATTGCTATACAACATGCTGACACTGAGGAAAACATAAAATAAATTTTGAATATCAAAGTAACTTTAGTACCGACAGTGTACCCAGGTTTATTATAAATTGGTAAGACATTTAAGAACATTGGTTTAAAAAAACAATGTCCACCTCCGCCTTTTATTTAATAGCTTGAGCTTTTTGTTTCTGATATGTACCTTAGTTTATTTAATTTTTTAAATTGTTAAATATTCTGACAAGTTAGTTATTATGAAACATTTCAAGAAGCTGACTTTTTATTTGTGATACTAGAATAGAATATTAATTAAATATATTTGCCCTATTTGTTATATTGTTTTTCTTATAAAGCTTAGGAATATGTTTACTTTTAGAAGTTTATGGATTTGCCAGTGAGTCATGTATCATTTTAAATTGGTTCTGAAAATGTATTGTGAAATTATTTATTGAATGGATAAATTAAAAATAACAGTATGGAAACAAAACAAACAAATACGTCTTTTTGTGTTTATTGTGTATCCCACCTTGAAAAAAAATTAAAAAATATTGCAAATAAATTATTTTATCGCGTTTATTTGTTTTTTTAAACAAACCAATGTTTCCGACACTAAAGGTGTTATGGGCACGGCTAACATATTTCTTTTCATTACTTTTAAAAAAATAATTACATGTCTATGTGAGTTTTCTTTGCTGTCGACATCATGTCTAAATATCGCTCGCTTAAATATAATTGGAGTATGTGAGTCATATGCAACATCCCATGGCTTGTTATATATAATGTTAAAAAGTCGGAGTTTGGATGATCTTTGGAGCCGCCAGTAGGAGTCCTACGTGTGCACTTCCTGTACTACTTAATGGTTCTTCGTTAAAAAAGATTAGCAATTTTAAATACTTGGGACACTATGTTACCGACGACCTCAAGGATGTTCTGGATATATAGAGCGAATCCGCAAGTTCGCCAGATGTACGATTGCAGTTTACGCTAGCGCTTTGTGAAAGAGCTATACTCAGTGCTCTCGGAATGCTCTGTGCGTGCAATACAACAACGCCTTCAGAACGCTGTTGGGGCTGTCACGTTTCTGCAGTGCCTCAGCCATGTTCACTGACGCGCGCGTAGATAGTTTCACGGCTGTTGTACATAAAAAGTCGGCGTCGCTACTGAAGAGAATACGTGTCTGCCCCGATCTGAAGACAGTTGCTGACAGGAATGAGTGCCCAATTATGCGGCACCTAATAAATAATACAAAGTCCCAGGTAAAATATAAGTACGAATATAGTTTTAAGTCTGTGCCTACTAAGCTTTGATTGGATCTCAGTTGTCTCAATAAATAAATGTTATTATCGGAAATGAGACTTAAGTGTAACCATTTTTATATTTAATAATGCTGTTCTAAGCAGAATGTTTAACTGCCTCGAAGGCCAAACGGTTATCATTCTGGGCTGCCACGCCGAGGTGCCGGGTTCGATACGAGTATCGATTTCTTTCTCACATTTATTTCTCTGTGATATTATAGGTAATTTGTGTTTGTCCATGCCACCTGCAATACAGGGTCTTCCTAAGTAATGCAGGGTGTGCGCTATTATTATTGTTTATTTTATTTAAACACTTTATAGTACCACAAAGTAAATTACAACTTTTAAGAAACAATTTATTTATTTATTTTTTTTTTTAATATATAATAGACACACGCTTGGCCACAATCTCACCTGATGTTAAGCGACGATGTGACCGACGATGGGACGCGTTTGCCTAAAAAATGCCTATTCACTCTAGCCTTGAATAGCCCCAAATTGTAATTTTCGGGAAATACATATGCCGGTAGAGCATTCCATTCCTTTGCCGTACGCATCAGAAAGGAGGAGGCAAAGCGCTTAGTGCGAATAGGTGGAATATCAACGACATAAGAATGGAGTGCTCCGGACCTTCTAGTCGACCGAAGGAGGAACGGTGAGGGCGGAACCAAATTGAAAAGTTCCTGCGCATACTCCCCGAAATGTATCCGATAGAAAACCGACAAGCAGGCTACTTTTCTGCGATGATCGAGATTTTGGAGCTTCGACTCCACAAGAGGATTATTGTTAATAAGTCTCTTTGCTTTACGCTCCACCGAGTCCAAGGCAGCTAACTGGTATTGGGCAGAGCCGTCCCAAAGGTGGCAGCAGTACTCCATACAGGATCGAACTTGTGCTTTATACAGATTTAAAAGCTGTTCAGGTGTGAAGTACCGCCTGACCTTGAAAAGTATGCCTAGTTTTCTGGCAGCAGTTTTTGCCAAGCACTCGATGTATCGCCCAAAGTTGAGGTTGGATGATAAGTCCAGACCAAGTAGCTCAAGGTGGTCCCTTATCGGCACGGATACACCTCGGAAAGTCGGAGTAAGGTGTAGGGGACTCCGTTTTAATGAGAAAAGACACGCCTGTGTTTTAGCCGCATTAAATCTGACCCTGTTAGCATCTCCCCAGTCGGAAGCAGCTTTCAGACTCAGGTTCAACCGGGTGACCATCGCCTCTCGCTTACACCGGATCTCTTCACTGTTGTCTCGGGCGTCTGGCACATAACTCACCGCCACTGTGCTGTCGTCTGCGTACCCAAAGATACCGGGCATCAGCAGCAGGTCGTTGATATGCAGCAAGAATAGAGTGGCGGAGAGGACAGATCCCTGAGGTACACCGGCATTTATACCATGAGGAGCAGACGAGTAACCATCTACAACTACACGGATTGACCTATCCTTCAGAAAATCGCCTATCCATGTGCAAAAGCCAACAGGAATTCCGTAAGCTGGAAGCTTGTTTAACAGGCTATCATGCCAAACCCTATCAAAGGCCTTTGATATGTCGAGAGACACGGCAAGCGATTCACCGCGTTTCTCGACAGCCTCGCTCCATAAATGTGTGGCGTACGCAAGAAGATCCCCAGTAGATCGTCCACGGCGGAAACCATATTGTCGATCACTGAGGAGATCGTTATCTTCGAGGTATCCAAGGAGACGGCTGTTCAATACACGCTCCATAGTCTTACAGAGTATGGATAGATAGATAGAGTATAGTACAGAGTATAATATTAGTGTGCAAAGGCGAGCTTCCCATAAAGGGATTTCTTCCAACTAACCCTTGAAGAATTGTGAGAAAAGTTTGTTTTTGGGTTGGCAATAAAAATAAATAAATAAAGAAATTTAATGCTATACATATAGTATATATTAATGCTATATAGTAGTATAATAGTCTATAAATACACAGATAAATTCATTGTATCAAATGTGGACATACGAATACATTAATGTTAATAGACGAATACACATAAAATCTATAACAAAAGAAATGCATAAAATAAAACAATAAATAAATATATCAAATGTAAATAAATATTTCATAAGCTCTAACATGAGGAGTGCATCCTTGAAAGCCCGAACCGAATGTGACTAACCTCGACTGGGAGAAAGTTCCACATACGGACAGCGTTTACTGTGAACGAGTCCGAATATTTTTGGGAACTGTTGTGAACGGACGAGGGACAAATTGGTGTCAGAAAGCAGGCTGTCCCGGTACTTAAAACGCTCACGCAGATGGCTAGGGGAAGTGAGTGAAGTAAGCCAGGAAAAGGATTTTATAGAGGAAGCAGAAAATGTGAGCATTTCTACGTAAACGAATAGGCAACAACTTCAACTCATCTCTAAACTTGGAAATGTGGTCGTCCTTTTTCAATCCAAACATAAATCTGATACACAGATTTTGCAACCAGATGGGCGTTCAAACGAAAGATGCTTTGAAAAGTTTGCGTTTTAAAATAAGCGCATAAGTACGCTTTTTATTTTAAGCGTAAGCGTTGGTCAGTTCTATACTCAACAATTTAATTTTTTACAACGTGCCTAAGTTTCAAGTCCCGCCATTTGTTTCATAAACAAATTAATTCGTCAACGTGAATAATAATTTTATATATCGAGTTCTTAGGTTTTCGCGATTGTTACACATAGGAAATGAAACTATTTTTCCGGATTTAAATCGCGTATATTTGTTTTTTCAAACAATAATAATGATTATATAGATATAGATAATAATAATTTTATAAATAAAAATAAAACCCGTGTTTTACAAATAAACTTATTTATCTTAAAACCTACATAGGTACATTGGTCTACTCTTGCTTTTCGGTATTAACACAACAACGTTGCGATTTTTAATTAACTTAAAAGTCTATGCGCAAACGTTTTTCTAAACGATTTTTTAAGTTTCAAACTAAAAAGTGTAAGTGAAAAGCGTTTAAAAAAGCACGCTTGTTTTTTTAAAGTTACAACGTTTAAACGTTTATGAAAATAAGCAGTTTTTCCCATCTCTACTCAAATAGAGATGCATCACTTACCCTGTCTGACTAGTATTTGCTTGATCCATGATGCCCAAATTTTAAACTCAAATGGAAAAAGGAATTTTAATATTATTATATTTCACGTACAAAACATACGTTTTTATATTAATATTTACATAATTCCGTGTATCATGTAAATATCTTGTCTCCTAGTAAAGTATATAGACTGTAATTGTGATAATGGTAATATCGAACCTCGTGGTTTTTTGTTTGCTCGTATCGAACCAAACGAATAAATTGCCCACCGAACGAAGCAACTCATACGAACAATAAAACAATGACGATCTGAAATCAGCCTTAGCACAACACCTGACGCAATGATGCAACCACGGACTGAACTGAACTACATAACCCCCAAGTTCTTTAGCCGAAATATCACTACGACGTAGCACGCCGGTACGAGAAACTATCGAGATCATAAAGTTTCAGACAGTTAGTTATAACAATCAAACACAACAATCAAGCCGAATACGTATTACATCGATTTGAGATTCATTTGTAGATACAGAAAGTGTGGTGTGTCGAACAAATGAGAGACTACGGTAACATCGCAAGATGTGGCGATGAATGACGGTAGTCGGCAACAATAGAAGAGGGTAGGCAGAATATCACACTGTTAATACAACAGTGTATTAATTAAAAAAGTGTAATATTTCGGAATTGATCGAAAAACGAATTAATCACTTCCCGTCAAAGATCGTTAAAATATGTGTATAGGTTAAAGTTTATTACAGACACCTTTGCAATTTCCTGTTTGTCAAATACACTCATCAAAGTGTCTAGGGATCGAGGTTTTTTTTAAATATCAGATTACCCTATTAAAATTAAATAAAAGTATCTAGACAAATTTATTAAATTATTTATTATAATATTTACTTTTTAAACTATGAAATTGACCAAAAGAACTATTGGTGTTAAACAAATAATAATTAGAATTAAACCTGATTTTCAGTGCTTCACAAAAACGTGCTTGTATGTGTTATTTAAAAATAAAAGGGAACAAATAATTTCATATTTTTGGGTAAGAACTGTTTACTGGCCAGACTTAGTTCACATAAAGTTGATCTCATTTTGAGTTAAGTAAATATCCTTTCATGGTTTCTTACAATATTTTAACAACGGTGTTATTGACGTGTAGAGAATTTTACGTTCATTCATTATATAATCTTGAATTTCACATATTTTGAGTCAGTATACTTACTATTGTAATAGCAGTGCGATGTGTCGTCCTTAAAGCTATGTATTACCGCCTGTCCAGTCAATTTATGACTATGGATACAAAATCATACGCATGGTACGAAACCTGTAATTAGGGATAATCGTTTACAGAATAACCACGAAAATGAAAACTCACCATATACGGCGGTTAGAACCTATTTGCAGTACAGTTCTAGCCGGGTAATATGGAATTCTAGAAACGTACATGCAATTGCGGTAATCGAGACTTGAGTAGATCGAAAGTGAAATTATGCGACGCCACTATCGCCGCCATGCATCCGGCGCACCTTTGATGTTTTTGCTCCCGTTTGCGTTCAGTCTGGGCTAGGTATTAATTAGGTATTACAATAAATAATGTACTCCCACGATAGAGGCTTCCTCACTCTTAGTGTCTATTCGATAGCGTGTTGTCTAATCTGAACGTTGATCAACCGGTAGCAATTTTCACTTTTTTGCTCTAATAACTGCATCAGCGTGTGATTAATTTGAATGGATTCTTAATAGGTGTTAAGAGTAAATCTTTAATCACTTGAAAGTTGTGTAAGTTTATTATGTGAAACCATTGACTTACAATTATATGAACGTCGGGTCCGCGCTAAAAAGTGTCCGAACTTATAGGGCGTTAAAATCGTATACAGAGCGTCATTCACGCTTTAGTTTTCGTTTGTTCGACTGACAGCGAAGCAAGCAAAATTAGACAGTACTGCGATGACATTACAATTTAAATTCAACGTTTTAGCTTTTTCATATTCCTTTACATGTCACTACGTTTACATAGGTTGACTTGGGACATTTTTTTCGTGGTTTTTGTATTAGACCTGTCGTTCATTTATTTGTAAGTCAATGTGTGAAACATGTTAAATACCACAACTTACTTACACATACTTCTAATTATGGGACACGGTAGGCCAAAGTAGATGACAGTATCGATTTGATCAAACACAAACTTAGTTTAATTCTCTTTAAATATATTTTTAGATGGTATTACGAAAATCTCGCTTTTTACAATTTAAACTTACTTCCAGAAACACTGAAGTAAATTTCTCGAAACGGGAATTTTTCCAGTGACGGTATTAATTTCGACATGCGAAATATTGCCCTTTTAAAAAAAAACTAAAAGTTTCTTTTAATTTATTTAGATAAAGGTAGAGAATTTCATCACGTTCAGAGAGCTAGCACCTTTGCCCTCTGGATGGTTAAAGTAATTCTTTGGCGGAAGAAGATCTTTCTTGACACCGGAGGTATCAAAGCAGCGAATTAGAGCTACTTAGACAGAAGTTTTTTTTATGACACCAAGTGACGGGATAGACAAGTGCGCCTGGTGGTAAGCGCCACGCCTGTCCATAGCAGTTGTAGTGTCACTCAGAGTTTTAAATCGCAAAGTAAATTTCAGAGACACCCTGAGGCATAAGTTGACATTTGACAAGTTCTACGTGCCTGTAATTTCACCAGCACCCTTGCCTTCCAAAACCGAACTAAGGACTCATTCTTGTACAGTTTTTTGATAGCCCTTTGTTACTCGTGATGCATTCTGCTGCATAATTATAATAATATGCTATCTAAAATGATACAACAAGAGCTGTCTAAAATGTCAGAGTTGTGTATGATTTGTATTCACTAACAAATTGGACTGTAAATTATCTGACATAAATTATATTTATTTTTATTATTTACGGGCGACGACGAATTTCAAAGCTCTAAACTAAAATAGTATTGTCTACCTTTTTCTGACTGATGCCAACGAGATAGTGACCTAATTTAAATGAAGTATCTATAGTCGGTATTTACACGAATGGACCCCAGTGGCGACGCCTGTAGGTACTTGAAGGTAGGCATATGCTTTATCACTTCCCTCTTCCGTTTATTCATTCTATTCAGAGTGTACCTTTAATAAGCTATCATCATTAGTATTATGAATCTAAGTTACATAATTAAGTATGTTCATTGTCAGTGAACTTTGTTTAAAAGTTGTAAGTAGTTACTACAAAGACAACTATTATATAAGTAATATGCGTGCTCATGAATCTTACACATCTATTTTTTTCCAAGTTGTTGTTTGAGTAAGTACCTGGGTAGCTGTCTGCTTATATAAGCATTGTCAGGATATTAGGTTCACAAGAAACATTTAGAAAAAACGCGCATATAACGCATACATTTGCATGATAATTATGCATGTAACGGTCTTGGCATTTGTCTAACGTCTTTAGAATTACCAGTACCATAATTCGGCCGTCATCTTACTATGACCTCGCCCTCATGATTACAATAAGTAATTGTTTACGTAATTCATGTAAGCATACGTTCCGTTCATAAGTAATAAAACTGAGGAACTGTGAATGTTTGCCTCATTTTCTCCGCCAACACTTCCTGTCGAGGTGCAATGATCTTGTTCTGTTCTATTATCAGTATCTGCACGAGTTTGTATGTACTTGACTTTCCCTTGCTAAGTTACAAGTAAGTAGTGACAAATCAATAAGCATTTTTGAAAGTTAGTTCTGATCTACACAGGGCAATTAATTATAAATGCCGCAACCAAAACAAAAAACACATTAATTCCATTCATGTCAAAGACAAAGAATCGTTTATTCCATAGGTAAAATAAATTTACACTTTGTCACATTTAAGTGACGTTTTCAAGTTCGTTCACTACCTACGCAGACTTCCCTAGATTCATACTCTAGGGATTGTTCTTTTCAAATAAACTTAACACAAAACTACACTTTGAATCAAATTTGTGTAGAATCTAGAGCGATGTCGTCTTTCCATACACCTTTATCTAACACGTAGTCTTCAATTTCGTAATATGACTTTCAATTAAAATATTTTTAATATAGCTTTTGAACTTAGGAAATGATAATCTCAATATATGTTCCGGAATCTTATTATAAAAACGTATACAGTTCCCCATAAACGAGTTGTATAATTTGGTTAAACGAAATCGTGGTACCATGAGTTGGACTTAGCTCTAAGGTTAATATTATGGATATTTTCTTTCTTATTGAAATTATGTATTTTTCTACTTCCTATTCCATATAATTACCGATTATGAATAATATGTATATGTATATTATGTATATTGTAGTTGTATACTTCATTGTTTTATAGTGCTTTTGCATTGATAATATTTGAAGAATTTTTTATTTTATTATGGTTATTATGATGACTATGAAGTAAAGTCGTAGGGCATAGTTTCCCAAAATATTCCCTACCGCTCCCCAGTGGGCGCTGAAGAGTCCGAGGCCTTGGAAGCATTTGGGCGTTGATGCTGTCCAGGGTGTGTGCCACATTTGAAAAAAAACCTGAATTATCTATATAAACTACCTTACAAATATATAATTTCTTTTTCATTGTGATTTTGTTTGTATTAAATTGATATGAAAAATACGCGCTTTCAATAATTTTTTGTGGTGGTAGCCATTGACATTTTTTGATCTTGCCTAAGTGAGCCAAAAAGTTATCCTATGTCGTAAGGGGTTGTTAAGGTAGTAAGATTCACAGTGAATACTAGGAGATCGTCTGTTGCCGTTATAACTACATATATAATTTATGAAGTTTTTATTCATGTGAACAAGACATTTACACTGTATGTACAAACATTATGTGTAAGCTTTTAATATGAGTGTTAATTCCGGATGAATTAAGTGTGTAGAACTGAGTAGCTTTCCATCTATTAAGCGATTTCCTGCGAGGAGCAACGATCGTATCAATCTCCGATCGAATAAATCTCGCGTGATCCAGTTTGTCAGGACATCGAGTGTCTTGGGCGCGGGTCGCGCCGAGGAGCTTGAACTTGACTTTCCCTCGCGTGGGCTAGTCACTTGTCCTTGGTTACTCGATTACATCTCGATTATCGTTCTACTGTTTTTATACAAGTAGTGTTTTGTGATTTAAAAGTAATGATCTTGTAAATGTTGTTTAGTTCTTTCGGGGACACGTTAATAAAAAGGTTATACCTAAAATTAAGGCAGGCTTAAAGTTGTGACAGCTGGCAGATGGTACTGTTTAGGACTTTTTTCAGAAAGTATGAGGAAGGCGATTAACAAGATACTTGTTAGGAAATATTTCCTTTTATGAGAAGCATTAAGTACATCCTACTTCCCACAATTGTTAAAACCGTCGCAGTGCTACTAAATCCTCTCCGAACCGGCTGGTGGGATGAAGAGTCGAACCCCGGCACTGCGAGCTTATAACAGGAGGCTGCGCGAGCGCAGCGTTACTTTCCTCGTGCGTTTCGCCGCGGTTGCGACAGTGGCGCAGTGACAGTGAGAGTCATGTTGTGACCCGAGACCGTCGCACGCTTCATTAACGTGAGTCTTACTTTACATTTGCGGTCGCGGCTTCGATCTATATTTGGTGCCAGTTGGTTGATTTTCATATTAAATTTAAATTGTAGTCTACATTTTGGTTCCAATGCGTGACATAGCGGATGTTGCAACTATTCGAAACAATTGATTAACCCTTAAAACACGAGTCTCCATGCCCTATGTAAGTTCTAAATATTGCAGTGGTTCCGTGGTAATTGAGAGTCGTTGATGCAATTTCCAATGTTAACTTTTTAAAAAAAGAAGAACATTATGTTTTGTTTTGGTGGTAATTGTTTTACCATTCTACATGTAGAGCTTGAAAATTTAATTAAAACATATTCGATTACTTAAAAAAATAAGGTGATAAATAATTTATCTTTATTCTACATCTTCAGTTAAGGGTTCTATATCTTTTGTTAAGGGTTAAACCTACTTATTTTTTGCTGTGACACTGAGTATCGTGATCCCAGGAGCGAGCTTCATTTACTACGTAATCGGATTTTCAATTTAGTTGCAATTATCTTATTTATATAAACGTCTCGTCTCGTCGAGCCTATTGCAGTTTACTGCTGGACATTGGCCTCTCCCAATGTGCGCCATTTTGCCCGGTCCCCAGCTTGTCGCATCCAGTTGCTGGTAGCAGCTTTTCGCAAGTTGTCACTCCATCTGGCCAGAGGCCTATACAATACCTATTTAAATACGATTGAACTGTCGCCCAGAACCTCTAACGCCTTTTGTTTCATTTCATCATCATATTATCATCACCACCGACCCGCGAGACTTCCCTCTGCCGGGTACGGCTTGGGAATTTTACATATACGTTTTGCCAAAGATTGTGAGCCTTGTTGAACATGTAGATGTCATGATGATGTTTTTCTTCTGCATTAACAAGAGGTATTGTTACTATACATTCACGTAACTGCCTCCGTGGCCGAACGGTTACCATGCCGGACTGCCATGCAGAGGTCCTGGGTTCGATTCCCAGGCCGGGAGAAATATGTGTATGGCCTACATTTATTTCTCTCGTGAGTTTGGGTGTAATTTGTGGTTGTCTATGTGTGTGTCCATGGCATCCGCGACATAGGGTTTCCCTAGTGCGGGGCTATGTTGAGTGTGTGCGTTATTATTATTATTATTAACATAACTTAAAAAATAATATCATAGGTACAATTGACATAGGAAAAATTGTCAATTGAGAACAACTGTTCTCCCAATGGACCATGGGCCAGAGCAAGAAGAAAGCTCTATAATAGATTTTATCGCATCTGTATACCTACTTAGTATATGAATATCGACCAAAAGATTGGAATTGCATAAAATCCATAGATGTTTTTATTCCGTTTGCAGATGCAGTGGCTATGGTTGACGTGTCTCCTGGTAGCGGTGTGCAGCGGCAGTGGAGATATTAAGGCTCCTGGACACGCAGGTATATGTTCCACCGTTTACAAGTATGACAAATGTACTCAATACTCGTATATTGTTTGATATATAATGACGGGAAATTGGGGTTAAAATTAAAACTTGTGGCAGCTCACCCTCTAGATTGAATGACTAAGATTTTTTATGATATCAAGCGACGAGGCGTACCTACTAGGCGCAGGGACACATCTGTCCATAATAGCCACACCTGTAATTTTGACAGCACGCTTATGCTTCAAAACCGGCAGAAATAGATAAGGTGGCAGTATTTTTCGGGACGAACTGGTTGCTACTACAAAGGAACCCGATTGGGAGAGTTGCTAACACATCTCTAATTAAGGAACAACAGAACATAAACAGTTTGTATTAGAAAATTTTGTCAATGTCAATAGATATGATAACGGACAGTGACCGAAATAGATAAGGTTTGTGGACGTGTCAGCGCATGCATAGTTGGGCACAAAATTCATGCCGTCAAAGTAGAATGTTCCGACTAATGGTTTTGATATCGTAAACGAGAAATAGGAATAATTGTAAGTGATATCGTATTAAAAGGCTATCGATCCCTGGCAACATGTTTGTACGTTAAATCTGCAGGTTATCTCTATTGTTATTTAGAAATAGTACTTAGTTCGTACTCGTATTGTAATATAAACACTATCAACTACGATTTTAAAGATCAAAGTCGTTAAACGTTTACTGTTTTTTTGCCACCCATATACATAGTATATTAAAAAAATAGTTTATAACATTGTAATTAAAAAGTAAGGATGCAATTTAAGACAACTCTACTAATTTTAGTAACTTCAGTAAAGTAAATATTTTTTTTTAATAATAAAATAAGTAAGTATACACTCACTCACTCGGTAAAACTCAGGGGTTTAAATTTCGGCAACTAATTTGCAATGCGATTTTAAGTTAACTGTTTGGATTGACATTTACTCAAGTAAGCGTGTGTTCATTTCAATTATTAAGCTGGCTATTCTCGTATTGACACATCGATATTGCTAAGGACCACGCGCCGGCGCCGGCGCCTGCTCAGCGCTTTCTAAAGCTTAATTGCAAAGTAATTTCGCGTTTCCAAGTAAATTGTCTGACGTTATTACGTGATATCGACAGTTATATCGCCAACGGTAAGAAAGTTTGTTTGTTATCCGTTCTTGACGATTGGTATAATTTTATAGTAAGTTGTACTTAGAAACTTAAGCCAGTAAAGTTCAAAAATAATTCGATATGAGTTGTTGAGTGATCCATTAACTAAAATTACCGTAATAACTTTGTAATTTTCTTTTGGTAAACGGATGTCAATTTGCATCAACACGTCTCTTCGTAACAAAACCCATAATGTTTGTCTAATTGGCACACACGCAACAGGAGGTCAATCGTGTCATTCAACACTGTTTGATTGAAGAAGTAACCTTTCGTAAGTTACCTAACACTCGAGTGTACTCTGTTAACAATAACTTCCGACTGCTAACATTAACTTGAGGTATTCAATCAGTTTATCACGTGCTATTACGTGGTTTCCAAAGTCAATCGCGTATTCGTGGTAAAAGCAGTTGGTCGCGAGTGTTTGCCATCACTGTCCACAGCTGCCGTTGACGGCTTTCCTTTCGTCAAGGAAAGTCGTCGATTGGGAATAATTTTACTTTACTTACTTTACGACTTGCACATTTCGAAACTTGGCATCGGATACTGTCAATATTTTGTTGCAGTTTGTTGTAAACACGTACGTGGTTTCGGAGTGTTAGTTCCTACTACTTATTTATGCATATCCATATCAAAGAGAGCACATGATATGATGTAGCTGTTGTTGAAAGTTTTTTGTTACATGAGTGTAGGCACAGCAATCCGTTTATGGGTACGTATCTCGTGGTAGAGGCTCGGCCAGTATCAGATGACAGCATAGCATACATTAGGTGGGAACATTTGTCCAATTATGCAAATATTGGTTGCCAAATTTCTCAACTACAATCGAAAATGTAAATTGATTCGTATCTTTGACAGTATAAGAACCTTTTTGAAAAAAATATGAATTCAAAATTATGGTCTAAAACGAAAGCGAATGGGATGTTGTGTAAGAAAGATGAATTTCTAATTTATTTGTGTTCTAAAATGAATGGCGCCGTCTGCGAAAGAAAAGCTACGAATTGCAGTTTTCTAATACTCGTAATACAGAATATTACCTACATTTGTTAGAGAAATAACATTTTTTTAAATTAACTTACTGCTTATGGAACTATTAATAACACGACGAAAAAATGAAATAAGCAGTAAGCTAACTAGATCAACAAGGGAATTGAGTATACCTACCTAAGTGTTGAAAAGAAGCAATTTATTAAAAGCTAATGAATAATATTTTTTAATAATTTCGGTTTCAGGAATATCACATTTCTGGACAGATGACTACAAAGTGTTCGACCAAATCTACGGAAAGACGTCCGATAAGGAGATCTTCGGAGTCACTGTTCCTCCTAGCATCACCTACGGCATAGACGCCACCAAACTCAACAAGGAGGCTTCTGAGAAGAAAGAGCGATATATCAACCATTACATTCATCAAGATATCGACGATGATGCGTACGATTTCGGCAACAAATATACAGAGCTGCTCAAGAAACAGCAAGCCGTTAAGAACGTCAAAAAAGCAAAACCGAAATCTCCGTTTAACTTCATCGGCACAGATTTCAAACCTATAACGCAGAACAACGATCCTTACACGTACACCTATCTTAAACATTTGGAACAATTGCAAAAGTATAAGGAAGTCCCAGAATTAAAAGTTGGTGGATTTAAACCTTATATAAATTACGCTGAAGCCAATCCTGAAGACACGGATGCGTATAAGAGTATTCAGGATATTCTCGATGCTCACGAAGCCAACAAAGGCAAGACTAAAGATAACCGGGACACTGACGAACAAGTAAAGTACCTTACTTATGGAGGACCCAAGACAACGAGGAGCAAAAAGCCCAAGCCGCGAGCACCACCTCCGCCCCCACCTCTGAAGACTAAGTTACAATGTTCTTATGGAAGGTGTAGAAAGCGAGCGGTAAACACCTACAGAGTCTTGACAAGACCTATTGTAAGGAAAATTAAGCACAAGATCATAACTTACTAATAAATGCAACAATTTTTTGTATCAGTATTAAACACGAGAATAGTTGGATATTGTGCAATATGTATTATTGTGTAAGCATGATTTCATCAAAGAAGTGTTAGGTTAGACCTGATTTTTTAAGCTGAATAGTTATATAGATTTACAAATGCCAGTTGTTATTTATTTTATTTAAAATTGTTAATGAATTGTTAATGAATGTTGTTGTTTCTATTTATTATTACTAAGTAGATTTTAGGTGCAATAAAGCAACTACTTGAGGCTTAAATTATTTTATTGAAAAATTTAAAAATAAATAAATTCTGATCTTTTTAGCTGAATTTTCAAAATGGAAAATAAGCAAAAAGATTTTGACCGCATTTTCACTCAGTGTTTTTGAAATGATCCAGTAAATAAGCAAATGTTTGCGTCCACATTTTGCTTCATTAGTGGTTCATTTCTTACAGCATCGCCGCAATGACGTTTGAATTGCCGATTAAATGGTGGTCCCCTAAAGTTCTAGTCAGCGGTTACGGGACCAGTAAAGGGGTCCTAATAAGTAAAATTAGAATTCGCGCCGCTCTGGCGCGTCCCCTTATTTTGATCGGCGCTCTGGTCGTTGGAGTTGCCTGTCTTGCGTTTGTTCGCCTCGATAATCTGTAGCAGAAACGGTGGCGGGTGTTGCTGTTGCTGGTGATCCGATTTCAACGTCTGATGCTGCTGATGCTGCTGATTGTGCTGCTGCTGCAGCTGCTGATGCTGCTGTTGATGCTGATGTCTGTGCTGTCGGTGGTCCAGCTCACGCGCCAGCTCCTCTACGAACTGCCCACCCGTCTGCCTGAAGAAATATAATGCTCAGTAGCGATCCTGATTTGATTATTGGAAGTTTAATGTTAGGGCTTGATAGGAAGATATAGGCGGTGTATCAGGTATATGTAAGGGCGTCGCGCTGTCGAAGCCGTATTATCAGTACAGCATTTTTTCTTCAATATAAGTGGCAGCAAAAATCTAAGTAATGAATACAGGTTCGTACCGCTCTGTAGTTCCGCGTCCGCTCTCAGCGTCATCAGCGACGTACATGGAATACCCCCTCCGAGACAGTTCCTCGTCGGGCGATATCGTGGGGTTGTGGAAAGCGTGGTTTTTGTCGTTGTCATCAAACGTCGCCTTCCTGTAATCATAGACAGTTAATAAGACATTACACAGTCATGTAGTAGAAGATTTAAGAAAATTCATAAAAGCTACTAGATTGTAAAGATATACAAAATCCTCAAGGCCTATAACATATGGTTGAAAGCACTTCGAGGCAAGTTCACTTTGCAGTTTAATATTAACGTCATCGATATAATTAATGATCAGTAATTGTCAGACTAATTTTGAAGTCAATGCCTCCATTATTTCGCGCCATCTTGCCATGTTGGTGGTTGTTTTCATAAGTTGCTTCCTGGCTATGTTCCGGATGTCATCTGACCAACGAGTATGGCTTCCAAGTTCTCGGATGGCACTCCGTGATCTTTCGGCTATTTCTCCACTCTTAGCACCTACCCATTGCCCCTGCGACACTCAAGAACCGAGATCCGTGACGTCAGTACTGCCGTCCAGTAACTAAAACGCGGCTAAATGGACAAATGGCCAAATTACCGTTTCAAGTAGCAAAAAATAGAGCACAAAATTCTCTTTTGAAAACAGTTAAAATTAGTTAACGTGTTCGACTTACCCTAACGATGCAAAGTTGAAATATCATTAAACAATCTCAATATTCTAAAAGTGGGTTATGGTTTTTTATGATATTTCAAATATTTTGTCACTTAACCGCGTTAGTACTACTTCAAACAACCTTGATTAACCTATAAATTAATCTATACAATGACTTTGTGAGCACAGGTTTTTTTTTAAGAACTATACTGTAGAAAAGAGTATATGTAATACTGACTGGACACGAATGGGGCCGGTGGCGAGCATTTCAGCGATGCGGCGACGCAGCGTATTCACTTGCGTGAATAACACTACTACCAGTATCAAGAGCACCAGCCATGCTGCGCTGAACACGCTCACTATTATTATTTGACTGTTTTCCTGCAACATGGTACATGGAAGAAGCAATGTATTACTTGGGTCACATTATAAGCTTAGGTGAGGCGCCTGAAAATATTGTTATAGCAATTATTTCGAATAACATGTATTTTAACATTACTAACAACTGTTGTGTAGGCGCTTCACTTTGATGACGTTACAGAATGATTCAGGGCATAAAATTAATCCTATACTGAACAATGAATAAGTAAAATACTCTTTTTCATGACATTCCACAAGTATTGTTGTATCTATTACGTTTCACGGGTTAGTTTCGAAGTTTGATACGAACAGACTTAGTCAGAATGATAATACGTTGATAATGTTACCGTCATCGTATTATCTGAAATATTTACGAAACTCTTGTAAAATGAAAGATTCTTTGAGATATAAGTGTGATAGATAGGATACAAATAATCAAGGAATCACATTTTGTTCCTACACATAAACGGTCCGAAATTAATAACCGAAAATATTTTCATTGTCACTACAATTTCAATCAGTGTACAGATGAGTTTTCTGATTTAAAAATAACATGTATCTATAACAATATCTTCACATTAAAATTTGGCAGATTCATTAACCGAGTGACTGCTATTCTGTGATCTGTGGCTTTTCTGATCTGAATCGTGGAGATCCAATTTTACAATGTCTGGAGCAGAAGGGTCTTCGCGTAATTCGTGACTGTACGTGAAGTAGTAAAAACTTGCTTATACATAATGCTTACACAAACAACAATTAAAAATAATTCAAGGACTTTCTTGTTCTTCAACACTTAAGTAGTCTGTTTGATTTTGAATTCCGTAAAGCTGTCTAATTCATGTTTTCTTTATCTTTATCCCTTAACCATCCCCACACGTTAGGACACTAAAATAATAATAGAAATAAAGGAGATTTCTCACCATGTTTCAGATGTGTGGTCGCATATTGAGGTTCGCCAGAGTCTGCGCCGCGCGCGTTACTGCCTTATCGCGACACATCGCGCCGGTTCTAACACGGATAACACAATTGATAACGAGATTGTAACTTTGTTTACTTGTCGCCAATTTCTTTTATACCATCACGAATTGTATTTGTATTTTTATCTTTACTGAACAATACTAAAGAATAGGATAGACACAGAAAAGGTTTCGAAACAAGAATTGGTTTACGTGGACCTATTTCGTCTATCTCAGAAACAACAAATGTGAAATTTAATTAATGGAAGATGTGAAGAACGATAATACTGTCGTTATTATATGTTTAATATTGATAAACATCGTAGATACATACGCCTGTTACAGGTGAACACAAGATTCAGTGACAAAAAAGTACAAGAAGTAAATTTATGAGCTACAAACATTAATATAAGAAATGAAACTATTGTTTTCTAAGCAATGCCTATTCACTCTCGCTTTGAAAAGGCCCTAATTACAGCGTTCAGGGAGCAAGTTTGCTGGCAGGGAATTCCACCCCATAGCCGTTCGATATTTAAATGTGGAAGCGTACTTGAAATATCCACAACACAGTGTGAAACCATGGTGAAACTTATATCACTTAATTTCACAACGAATGTAATCATAACACGTACAAATTGTTTGTTATCCCTTGAAAATAAAACAAAAAAATCTCCAGCCTTCATCTAGTCCCCGGATGATGGAAAGGAAGCAGAATTAACTCATGCAATTCCATCGCACACTCTCTGTGATATATCCTGCAGAATACCGATAAGCAGGCAATTTTACGGCGGTGTTCAAGGCTCTGCAGCTTTACCTATACTAATTCCGATTCATCTATAAGCTTCTTGGCACGCGTTTTCAAGTGAATTCAATGTGGCCGTTGGTATTTAGCAGAGGCGTCGCATCAGTACTCAATACACGACATCAGTATAGTTTCATTTCCTATCTGTAACAATCGCGAATACATAAGAACTTGACATTAAAATTACATGTATCCATCAAAATGAACTATTTCTAATTGGAGTTCAAGGTTACAGTGCGAAAAATTTGCGAAAAAACCTATAAGCTTTTTAGCACGCTTTTCAACTGACTCCACGGTGACCGTTGGCATTTAGCAGAACCACCATCCTGTAGGTCGTAGCAGTATACTCCATAAACGACGTCAGTATAGTTTAATTTCTTATCTGTAACAATCGCGAAAATCTAAGTCTAATCTAATTTTGAAATACATACATTAAAACTACACATCTCCATCAATACGACCTACTTAAGTACTTACTTTATTTAAAGTTCAAAGTTAGAGTGCGAAAAATGTGCTGTCTCATACAAAGTACATGAATTCATTCATTCAACAGGAGAGGTGGAGTTGAAACTCTGGCTGTTGAAGAATTAAAGGGCATTATTCTTTTGGAGTTACTATCATCAACCTGCAGGCTTTGGGTAGCGATTAGAGCTTAGAGCACTCAAGACTCAAGACTAATGTTTTCAATCTCGGGAGTACTGAGACTTTTGAAATTGAAATCACTTACATTAACATTCGCAACGTACTATTACGTCGTTAAATTTCTTTTATTACATCGAAGAACGTAATGGAACTCTATTTGGCCTTGCAAAATTTTAACAGTGATGCCATTGCTCTACAACGTATCGAAATATTGAATCTCTAGCGACACGCCTTTACCAACATTTCACAGGTTAATGTATGAGAAAAATATCTCTATATTGCCTAAAATTCTCTTTAGTTTTTTGTTATTAATCATTCTTAATTTTATTTAAATAATGTATATATTTTAGTAAAGTAAGGGCATAGTGCCCTCAGAATGTTGCAGTGTCCCCACGGAGTGTTACATGTCAAGTACCATTAGCATAAGAACACCTGTTATATAACCATGTAAGTTGCAAATAAAGAATATGAATATGAAAATGAATATCTCCCAGAGCGCATCAATCAGCAAAAACAAGATCCTCGCGCGAATGTGTTAAACAGTATAATTACATAACAATCTGCTACACCAACACAACTTTTTTATTCTGGTTACATGGACATGACAAACCTATAGAGTGGAGCTTAGTGTAATCAGTGGAGATTGAAGAACGGTAGTAACAAAACCAGGTTTTCTCTATCTGAAATTGCAAAAAACTCTGTTTGTTTTGTGCCCACTATAAAAATAAAAAGTCATCAAATCTTATATTTAACTGCCTAAAGGCCTAGCTTATAAGAGTGGAAACCTAATAAAATAGTCCCGAAAGTAGTTTTTCCCGGTATTTTTGAGACCGCACCGAGTCTAGACTTTTTTCCCTATAGTAGCGATTATAGCAAGCCTCCGACGTCATTGAAATAATTTATTACTTAATTTCACTTATGGAACGTTCGAAGACTTAAGTACGATGTCAAGTGAACGTAACTAATTTTTAAAACATGCTAAAGTGCACTTACGGGTATTTTATTAATTTGATAAGATTATTATGACTAATTGACAAATAGATATTGTAGATTTTTTAAATGTTTAACTGATTATACCAAATATTCCGACTAATGGATTACGACTGCCAATACATGCTATTTGTTGTCACTACATTGAAATGTTACAAATCTGCGTCAAAATCAATTCGGCGCAACTTCATTTATCGGCTTATTAGCTTATCAAACTTTCCGGATTCGTAATTTCCTTCATTTGTCGACGTGTTTAGTGCATACACGTGGAACGCACTGACATCGTTGACTGATTTAGCAAGCTATTCATGCATTAAAAAAATTAAGACTTTAATTTTTCGACTTCAAATATTAAAATTATTGTCCTTCCAATATAATGAGCTTGTTATATAACATCTTTTTGTAATAGAAGATCTTATCGATTAACTTAAATAATGAATACGCACGTCAATATATGAACGTGCGACTGCCTTATTTAATCTTACTACATAGATGGTTTTCTGTTGGTAATTGATCAAATTGATGAATGGCGAGACAAATGAAAATGTTACTGTTGACAAAATATGGTAAAATTTTATTACTCAGAAGAGGTTTACTTAATGATGGCCTCGTGTGAAATCACTAAATGTTAAATTTGGCCAAATAATTGTACGTACAAGAATTCAGTGTCGTACCACGACACTGAATGCATTATACAAAAGTGCGTTCATTCGATATTCATGGCGTATTAACAAAGGATCACAAACATATCGCACCAAGTAAAAGCCGCAATGTATTACAAATATATGTTTTATAAATATATGTTTTCTCGAAACTCATACAAAATCAAAATAATTGTTTTTAAAATAAATTATGCATCTTCTGATTACAAAATCACTTGCCGGTGGAAGGAAACGTCTCTGTTTACCCGTTTACCCAGATTATGGTGCTTTTGCAGTTTATAATGGCATAGTTATGTATTTTTCGCGCTTACGACTGGTAACGATAACGGTCGAGTGCGTTCTGAAGTGTAGCAGCGGCAAGTAAGTGAATTACACTTACTTTGGGCAGGCGAAGTACGTACACTTGCGGCGTCTATCTAGATATATGTCTGTGGGCGACAGGGTTGCTTGCACTCTCGAACAAAACTCAAGTTGTCTGTCATTCTTCGGTCGAGGGTATACGTCACTTAACTATTAAAATATATATGTATATATATGTATAGTTAAGTGACGGGACGAACAAGTCGTGCGCCTGATGGTAAGAAACACGCCTGTCCATAACAGTTACAGTGCAATTCAGAGCTTTAATTTGCAAAGACCTGAGGGGCACCTGCCACTACGCCCGTCACCCTGAGACATAAGTTGACAAGTCCCATGTAGCTGTAATTTCACCAGTATCTATACCTTTCAAAACCGGAACGCGGTAATGCTGACATTACTGCTTGGCGGCAGAAATAGTTAGGGTAGTAAGGTAGTAAGCAGTACTTCCCTGGACGAACTCTTTTATAAGGAGCTCTACTGCTACTAAATGTAATGTAACTGTAGTTGCGCTTGTGTTGTTTATTTTATTAATGAAAATGCATGAAAAAAAAATTGAAATGCTTGTATAGGTAGCTATTGGAAAATATCAGGGTTTTCACCGCCACTGGTTTCGCAGAATAGTTTTTCATGGAAATTAGTGATGCGTTTACAAGAGACGTTTCATGCTACTGTAGAATCGGTGAAATGTAAAGTGTAATATGCAATCTGTATTGATTAAAAATATAACTATGAACGCGAAAACGTCATAATCTAAAACAATTCAATAATTTATCAACGCGAGAGATGTCGTAAACACTTTGAAAGATAACCGCCATCGCCACTCCGTATATTAAAACTCAAACAAAATCACAGCTATTAAACATTCATTGCGTTAATTAATCATAAAGTAAGTTACGTAGAGATCAAAGAGTTCAAATTGGTTCATGAAATAAGTAACTATCTCAATTTGGTGCAACAAAAGAGAGAGCAATTTGCACTTCACAATAATCGTGAGCGAAGTATTCTTAATGATTTTAATGATTCCAATTATGAGCTTCTACTTATTTTGCGGTTCATAAAAAGAATAGCTTATAATAGTGAACCTATATAATTTAGCTTTAGAGACGTAGTGTTGGTTTAGCTACAGTTTTTAGAGATATTTAATTTGATCGACGTCCATCAAGGAGAAACAAAAGGGCCTTTTGAACTCTGTTTGAACCATTTGAGTGCTATCGTTTGTCAAATCGCTCGCTTCTATTCTATCATTGTGTTCGGTATTTGGGTGAAGGTAATTTACATAGCGCACGCCCTGATTGTTTTCTATAGATTCGCATATCTTTAATGATTGAAGAAAACGTTTAAGTAGGCATTTGAATGAAGAGAGATTATCTCGAAATGTTTTCAAGGTATAGGGGAAAGTCTGTTAATTTGGACCATTTTTTTCAAACGCGTTTTAAATATATATTTTTCAGATTTTTACAAACGTCTATTGTATGAAATGAAACTGAAATAGTTATTAGACTTTGTATTTATGGAGCTTTTATTGACATAAATAAATAGGTGTAAATAAATTATTATACACCTGTAAAAAAACAACA